GGCACTGTAATCCCAGAGGCGAGTGGTTTGAATCCATCAGGTGCTCTGCTGGAGAAGGAAGGACAATCTCCTCCTGTACCAGTCAGATCTGATTTGACAGTACACACTAAAAAAGAAAAAAAAAGTTTAAAAATAAAAGTGAAAATACAAGGAATTTTTTTTTTCTTATTCATGATATACCTTCAAATAGCCCAATGAAAAAGCAGGAAAGAGATCTATAAAGACATTTCTTTAAGGGATATATACAAATAGCCAGTAAGCCCATGGAAAAATGGTCATCAGGTATATAAAAATCAAGACAGAGCTCTGGGGGCTTAGTGGTGAGAATCTGTGCTGCCAACCCAAAGACTCGCAGTTCAAATCCACCAGTTGCTCTAGGAGAGAAAGAGGGATGATCTCCAGGGCCATTTAGTGTTTCTGAAAACCTGTTAGAGAGTCAGCTAAATGCGTTGGTTCCAATTCAGCAGTACATAACAACAATAACATACAAATCAACACTACATTTGAGATTTTAGGTCACACATCCTAAGGAATTCTGGACCACGATTAATAAGCTACTTGGATTAAGGGATTGTACCCTGCTGACAACTTGTTGACTTTCATACCTCGTAACCATTTAAAAAACCCAAAACAACAAAGGAATTCTGGTGGTATATGGAGGTATATATTGGGCTGTTAACCCAAAGGCTGGCAGTTGAAATCCAGCAGCCACCTTGTGGGAGTTTGAGAAGCAGTTTCTACCTGTAGAAATCTGCAGCCTTGGAAATCTGATGGAGAATCTCTATGAGTCAGATTCGCCTCAATGGCAGAGGGTTAGACTGAGGACTTGGCCCTATCAATAGGGCTACCATATCCATGTCTCAGTTTGGCTAGTCAGTTTTCAATTAACTATTACCTCTTTTTTTTTTAAATTACTTCTTTTTTTATAACCTTTGACTTTAGTTCCTAATCACATTAGGTTCTTTCATGTCACTGGACTGTGTTCAGAGAATGGCTCGCTCCAGCATCAAGCACTGAACGCTGTACATGTTCATTCATTTCCTCATGGGCTGCATTCATCAAGTACCTTGATGTTCAGTGTAAGCCCTGGTTTCTAAGCAACTTGGAGTACGGTTCCCACTCTCCAGAGAGGAGACTGTCAAGTAGGTTTATAGAACACATATGCTTATGAAACCAAAAAGCTTACATATGCTTCTGAAGAACACAGCAATGGCTTAGTTTTCCAAATGATTTTTCTCATTTTCATTTGTCAAAATTTATTCATCCTTCAAGACAAGGATCAAATACATGCATTGGCTGTATCTGGTAAAATAAGATATTAAAAGTATGAGTGTTTCCTATCTTGTTAGCTAAGAAGCTTAGTTGGAAGTTGTGGGTCTCCTTTAGCGTTATGGTAACTTACTGAATACCTTGGGTTTTATTTCTTCAAATTCCTCTTCACTGGAACTCTCTCCAGTACAGTAAAGAAGAGATAGTAGTTGGAAATATGGGATTGGTGTTAGAACTGAGGCTGGAAATAGAATGACTGTATTTTGTATTTATGATTTATTCATTTCAATACCTTTTATTAAAGGACACAAACATTGATTTACACATGGATCTCACCTGATGAGCTGCATTGGAATCAGATTGACTACATTTGTTGAAGAAATCATTGGAGAAGCTCAGTATCAACTGTCAAAACTAGGCCAGGCAAACTGTGCGTCAGATCATCAATTACGCTTATGCAAGTTCAAACTAAGGTCAAAGAAAATGAAAATAAAGTCACAGAAACCAAAATACGATCTTCAGCCAATTCCATCTGAATTTCAAGATCATCTTAGGAATAGGCTTAAGGCACTGAACACCAGTGACTGAGGAATGGATGAGTTGTGGAATGACATCAAGGAGATCAGCCATGAAGAGAGCAAAAGGACATTAAAAAAACAAAACAAAAACAAAAACAGAGGAGAAAGAAAAAATCAAAATGGAAATTGAAATCAAAACTGTAGAAATTGCACTGGAGCACTGAGAAGCCAAAACAAAAGGAAAACATGCCAAACTAAAAGAACTGAAAAGAAAATTTCAAAGGGAAGCTTGGGAGGACAAAGTATCATAATGGAATGTGCAGAGAGCTGGAATTGGAGAATAAATGGGGAAGAATTCACTCTGCATTTCTCAAGCTGAGGGAATTGAAAAACAAATTTAAGCCTCGAGTCACAACAGTTAAAGATGCTATGGGCAATATACTGAATGACCCAGAAAGCATCAAAAGAAGATAGAGAGAAAACACAGAATCACTGTACCAGAAAGAACTGTTTGACACTGAAAAATTTCAGGAAGTACCATATGAACAGGAGCCAATGGTAATGAAGGAGGAAGTGGAAACTGCATTGAAAAAAAAAATAAGGACCTAGGAATTGATGAGTAGTTTCAATGAACAGATGCAGTCTTGGATGCGCACCAGTCTATGCCAGGAAATCTGGAGGATAACTGTTTGGCCAACGGATTGAAAAAGGTTCATATTTGTTCCCATTCCCAAGACGGTGATCCAAGTGAATGTGGAAACTATCAAACAATATCATTGATAACACATGCAAGCAAAATACTGCTGAAGATAATTTAAAAATGGCTGGAACAGTACATACATAGGGAACTGCCAGAAGTTCAAGCAGGATTTAGAAGAGGTTGTGGCACCAGGGACATCATTGCTGATTTCAGATGGATCCCGGCTGAAAGTAAGGAATACCAGGAGAATGTCTATTTGTGCTTTATTGACTATGAAAAGGTATAGGCATTTGACTGTGTGGATCATAATAAGTTGTAGCTGACATTCAGAAGAATGGGAATCCCAGAACACTTAATAATTATGCTCATGTGAAACCTATACTTGGACCGGAGGCTGTTGTATGAACAGAGCAGGGGAACACAGGAGGGCTTAAAATTAAGAGTGTGTCAGGGTTGTTTTCTCTCTCCATACCTATATAATCTGTATGATGAGCAAATTTTTCTAGAAGCTGGACTCTATGAAGAGGAATGTGGCATCAGGATTGAGGGAGATTCATCAATAATCTGCATTATGCAGATGACACAACCTTGCTTGCTGATAGTGAGGAGAACTTGAAGCACTTACTGTAGAAGATTAAGAAATACAGCTTTTGGTATGGGTTGCATCTCAATGCCAAGAAAACAAAGATTCTTACCACTGGACCAATAGGCAACATCATGATGGATGGTGAAGAGACTGAAACTGTCAACACTTGATCTTGCTTGGATCCACAATTAACACCCTTACTACTAGCAATCAGGAAATAAGGAGACACATTGCACTGGAAAAATCTGCAGTTAGAGACCTTTCCAAATTATTGAGGAGTAATGATGCCAGTTTGAGGACCAAGGTACGTCTGATTCAGGCCATACTAGTTCTATCACTTGCTATGTGTCTGAGAGCTAGACAATGAATAAGGATGACATAAGAATTACCGATGCCTTTCAGAACACTGACCATCCCATGGATGGCCAAAAGAACAAATATGTCTTGGGGAGGGTTTAGAGTGCTCTTTGGAGGTACTTCACTTTACATACTTCGGGCATGTTGCTAGGAGGAGCTATTCCTTGAAGGACATGATGCTAGGAAAGGTGGAGGGTCAGTGAAGGAGAGGAAGACCCTTGACCAGGTGGATTGATGTGGTGACTGACGCAATGAGCTCTTGTGTGAGGACAGCGCAGGGTAGAAGAGGGTTCAGATCTTTCTTTCATAGGGTCACTATGAGTTGTACTCAACTTGACGGCACCCAACAACAACATCCTTTCTAACCCACTAGAAGTAATTTGAGAAATGAACTGGCTCCAAGTAATGAATGAAAATGTTTTCTTCTCTTGTGTCAGTTTAGGTCCTCTAGGAAGCACATGCCAGCATGAAAAAATTGTCAAGCAAGCAAGTGTAACTTCCTGCTCTAACTGGTTAAAGGGAGAGGAAGCAGGAGTAGGTAGGGCAAACTTTTGGAATGTGATACAGGTTTGATATCAATGCAAGGAGAGAAACAGTATCACAAACTTGGTCGTTTGGGGTCAAATCCTGTGGAGCACACTCCTAGGGTCCACTCTCTTCTGAAGGGAGAGCTGAGCATCTGTTCCTCCCAGCAACACTCAACACTCTTTGTAGATCGCATTTCTTAAGTTACTGTATCATAGAATCAAGATGATAAGGTAACAGTATAAAGAGCTTAGGCTTTGGAGACAGAGAGATTAGGATTCACATCTCAAAATTTTTTCCAGTCAAATGCAGTTGAAATCTAGTTCAAATTACTCATCTCCTCTAAGTTTTAAGTTTTTTTCTAAAATGGGATTATTGGATTGTTGTTATGTACTGTCAAGTTGGAAGTGACTCACAGCTGACCCCAAGTGGGTTTGCAGAACCAGTAAGTCACACGGTAGGAGATTGCCTATCCTTCTCTTGTGGAACACCTGGTGGATTTGAACTGCATACCTTTGGGTTGGCAGCACAACTCCTGACTACTAAATAATCTTACTAAAAACATGGTAGTAATGTTTTACTATACAAGTTAGGCTGTTAGTAGGATTACAGAAAAGGCTGAATCCCTTGTTACTGAAGTTGAACTAATGTTCCTTCCTTTGCTCTTCATTTTGAATACTGTGGGATAAAGTAGTTTTGTAAACACTGTCTTATTTGATGGAAACTTCAAAGAAATTGAGAGTTAGAAAGGGTCAGTTGCTGATTCAAAATCACACAGCCAAAAAAAAAAAAAAATCACACAGCCAACAAAACGGGGAGAATCATAACTTGAACTAAAGTCTTCTTGTTTCACTGCCAGTTCAGAAATAACAGGATGGAGTTTGGCTAATTAACCAAATGTTTTAGCCTGTCCCTGGAATATGCTGTTTATGAACAAGTGTGTTTGTTTTGTTAGTAAGTTTCTTTCAAAGGAATATGGGTGGATTTTTAGATCATAAAAGTGTTTAAATTTTGCTTCTTAGACAACATTTTACACAATTGTTAGACTTTATCACTGTATAAAAATGTACAGTGGCTTTTATTGACATGTACATTCCAATATGTTTACAGTTGCAAGATAATGAGGCACACTCAGTATTGCACTTCATTAAAATTTCAGGCTCAAACTTAACCTAGAAGTTTAAATGAAATTGCATTTGTAATTTAGTAATTCTTATACAGGACAAACATTGATATCTTTATATACAGTGTGATACTTATTACATTTATATGCCGCCTTACACAATTTTTTTTTTTAAATAACAGTCTAGGAAATAAACCAGAATGTTCCTCTTTTTATCCCCACCTGTGATGCAATTGTACAGGGTTACAAAAAGGCAGTATACAATAAACAATGATTATTTTTCTTTTTCTTTTTTATTTTTTGCTTTAAAGCATTATTCTTAGTCCATGGGTGTGGTGATTTTTGTATATCAATTATCTATGAATGTCCAATGCTTCACAGCCAATGACAGTAATGGCCACATGCAAACACCTCACAATTCTGATGTCTTGGTTTAAAAAGAAGATAAACCAAAAAAATGGAGAAAGTTTCCACAGCAAGAATTATGTACATGGTATTTGGCATCCTTTTTGCATTGTAAATGGTTCATTTTCATTGATGTAAAAATGGTCCCGTCCTTATCCTGAGCAGAGTTTAAACTTCACCACATCCTCTTTGGGGATGAAGGCAACTGTTTGCTCTGTAGACACAGGAATCTGAGTGTTCTAAAAAGTGTGAGCATTTCTGCACACACCGCAACCCAGAGCAAATTCTTCCCCAGTAGGCGGATGCACAACGTGGAGCGGACACTCGCTTCCTTCCAGCTGTTTGCCTTTGGGACCTGTGGTAAGATTTCAAAGAGGTAAAAGACAGAACTGAAAACAGACACAGCCAAAAAAAAAAAAAAAACAACAAAAAAAAAAGAAAACAGACACAGCCAAACAAAAACCCCACTGATAAAAACCTCATGAAAATTATTCAAAGAAACAACATGACAACTGTCGCGCAAATACACCAAAACACCACTGAACGGTAAAGTGAAAATATGGGTATTTAAAAAATAATTTAAAAGGACATGAATAGAAAAACAAAAATATAATCTGCTTAAGATACGATTTTTTTAAAGTAAGACTATATAAGAAATATACTAATTTGTAATAAATATTTTGGGGAAGATTATTTAGAAAGACTTTTAAGCTCTTTTTTAAGCAGGGAGCTTCGGTCCTATAGAGAATAATGGCTGAGCTTATACTTGAACACAGAGTCCTTATGTAGCAACAGAGGAAGGAATAGGAACTATTTCGTATTAGTTTTCAAGGGAATGAAATAAACTGTGATTTTTTTTTTTTTTTTAAAAAAAAAACACTACGAGATTCGATGGACCAGGCTTATCCAGATCAATGGGTAATGAGACTGCATGTAACTTATCTCTTCTGTATTTCAAAGCTTTTCTGACATGGTAGGAAAACATAAAGAGTAAAATCTTGGCACAATATAAATTCTCTTCAGACAGCAATGATTATTATTATAGCTGAACAACAATGAACTGAGGCCTCATATGGAACTGACCTATAGCTGATCCTACAGCAGGTTGTCAGAGAAAATTAATTGCACGGGACGAGATTGCACCTCCTTCTATGGTGAAATATCTGGTGAATTTGAACCATAAACCTTTGGGATTACAGTGCAGTTTCTTTTCACTAAGCCACTAGAGCTCCCTTGAGGCCTCATCAAGAGGCGTAGAAAGTAATTTCCACATTACACTGCCAACTCAAAGACGTGTGGTGCGAGTCCACCAATTGATTCATGGAAGAAAGATGGGCAATCTCCTCTCATCTAATTTGCTGCCTCTGAAAACCTGCTGGAGGGTCAGCTATGAGTGGATTCTGACTTGATGGTACACAACAAGAAGAACGACCTATAAGACCAAACTGTGGGGGTAAGTATTGAACTGAAGGCAATAACTGCAGAAAAAGTGGCAGCTGCTGGTTTAAGATGACAGACGTGAGTGTCACGTGAGGGCTTCCTCAAGCAAATGCAGGTGCGAGGCCCCAGGAGGGGTCAAGGTGGGGGCACACCAGAGGCTTTTTGAAAGTTAATTATTATTGTTGTAAATTATAAAGCAGAGTAGTCTCTCCCATGCTGCTGTCTCTGCCTACCTCGTTATAGGTCAAGGAGAGGGAGCAGGAGATGTGACACTCAAGGACAGAACTGTTTCAGCCAGGTACCTGACACCACGAGTGGTGGCTCAGACCAACAGCAGCCAGATGATCCTCAGGAGGGTATTTTTCATTAAGATATAAGGGGTCATTTAGTCAACAGAGGCTTACTCAATGCCTAATGGGTGAATGATGTTATGTTAGCTGCCAGGAGTGTAAAGATCAACCTGACAGTGAAAAAGAAGTGTTAAGGAAATAAAAACTAGAATTAAAACCCTGCACATATTTGACTGCTTTTCATTTTCCAATTCCAACAAACTTGGTATGCACAATTAAGAACACTGATTATTTTTATCATGTTGCCTAACCTTCTGTCCAAATTATTATGTACCATTACTACTGAGAATTGGCTCTACTATGTAAACTCACTCAGTCTTTTAATAATCATATGAAGCAAGAATTATTATTCTCACTTTCTAGAAACTAAAGCAAAACTTACTTTTCCTGAGTTTCTAGATCTGTCATCTATAGATGAGGCAGAGCAATACTAATAGAGTGCTGTGGGGATGAAGTATCCTGGCATGAGAAGGCAATTTAGAGAGAAGTGGACAGACTCTGGAAGCATTACATACCTCAACCCCTTAATCTGGACTCTTGTAATCCCTATGATTCCAGATTAGAGATGATGAGGTTGACAGTGGGAGAGGATCGATCCTTCTCCCCTGTTAATCACATGTGTCCTCCCTACTCATAATCCTGTAAGCTATGCTTTGATTAGCTTCCAGTTCTCTAGAAGGATGATGACTCATCAAATGTGAGAGACAACGCCCCAATCTAACTATATGATCTTAAGGTCATTATTTAACCTCTTTAGGCCTTAACTATGTACTTGTGAACACAACGATAATACCATTTACCCTGTCACTGACTCACTGCTGACCTTCCTGTGGGATTTTGGAGACTGTAAACCCCACGGGAGGAGACTGCCTGTCTTTCTCTCACAGAGCTGCTGGTGGACCAACTGCGAGAGGTGCCACTTTCAGGCCGGTAATGTTAACTATCTATGGACCTCTATGGACTATGCTGTCAGAATTCTCTTTCTAAAATAGAGATGAAACTTTTCCCCGTTTAGTAAACTCTGTATTTTGTTAGTGCTTCTAACTTTCCTGGGTCCCCATTATTTCCAGGCCACTCTGCTGCATATTTCATGTAAGAATTCTTCTGCCCTCGTGACTCAAATCGTCTCCTGAGGTGCCCTTCCTTTCCTTGCACCCTTCCTTCACTGACCAGCTCACAGACTCTCCTCCCAAGCATGACGTTCGCTCTCTTCTGGCTACTGTCCAAACATCTTACTGAGTCCAACATCACACTCCCATCTTGCTGCCTTTCATTCCTACTTCTAAAAAACCTTTTTTTTTTTATTTGGCATAAGCAAATGGTAAAAGTACCATAATTAAAAAACTAAAATACAAAAAAAACCCAAAAAACAAAACTAAAATCATGTTCATTTTATTTTTCTTTTTACTATTTCACATGATTAAAAAAAAATGAAAACCTTAAAAAGGACATAAGAAGTCACCCTCTCTATTTTTATCCCTCTCACATTTTTCTTGTTTTCCTCACTAGTTTTATCTATTTACTATCCACCTTTCAAGTCTTTTCATGCAAATACGAAGGTGAGTGTATGTTGTTGTTGTGTGCCATTGAGTCAGAACCGACTCACAGCTGTCTCTGCAGGGATTTTCAGAGGCAGGAAGTCACAGGGCAGGAGAGATTGTTCATCTTTCTCCTGTGGAGCTGCTGGTGGATTCAAACTGCCTGCCTCAGAGTTGGCAGCACAACTTTTACCACTCAGGCTGCCAGTGCTAATGGGGAGTATTTATTCTAATTTTTGTGTTTTTACAAAAAGCAGCACACCTTGTACACTGTTCTGTAATTCCCCCTTTACATTTAATCATCTCTCTTAGAGATATTTCCCCAAATTAGTGTGTAGGGGGAAAAAATCCACCCTCATTCTCCTTTCAATAATACAAATAATTTAGTATTTATTTGTGTATCCAGAAATAGAACTGTCGGGGGTAAAGCATGTGTAATTTTTGATAGGCACTGTCAACCGGCTTTTCGTAGATTCCACCTGCACTCTGAGCAGCAGTGGGTGGGAGTGTCTTGTTTCACGGCTTTAGCAACATTGTCTACTGGGTTGTTTGCACTCCTGCATGAGTTTTCACAAACTGGACACACATCTCAAGTGTATTTCAGGCACATTCTCGCCTATGGTTGTGTTTACGTTTTCCACTCCCCCCAGACCCATCAGGCCTCATATTCCACCTCATGTGGTGTCAGTTCCTGATTTCTTCTAGACACTCTTCTGCAAACTCTCTCATTTCATAATCCCTTTTTCTCAGTACGATCTCAGTACAGTGTCATTTATTTGTGCTTTCAGGGCTCGGTTAATTTATGTGGCTCTCTACTCTGCCAATTACTGGCCATTCTAAGTAAATCATGTGTTTACTTTATGGCACTGATTCCAGGCTTAAGAAAAACAAACAAAGTCATGAAAACCTTCTACCTGGTTCTATTATTAACTTTTGATTTAAAATTTCATATGGCCCTTTCCTTTAGTGTGAGGGAGAGTGAAAGCACAAAGTAATTCTGTTATCAAGCTTTAGCTGATCTTGTTCTCATTCCCCAAAGATGTGCTCTATAGAGCTCCAAACCCTTCATTCACTGTGGTCTCACTTTTCTACTTCAACATCATAAACTTATAATGGTCAATCAATTTCCTTTGATTTTTTTATGCTAGTGTGAGTTCAGTTTTTGTCACTCGTTACTGAAACAGAATTCCAGTATATAATCTTTACACTTGCTCTTAGCCAAAAGGCCAAGAAGTGATCCAGGATAATCTTTGATAACTAGTACCTCATACATCAAAACTGTAACTAAAACAAACTGAAACAAATGAAAACGCGTACCTGCAGGACAATGTGGCAGTTCTTCCTTAGGAATGCTAGTCATTCTCTGAAAATCATCATGACAAGCATTACAAAAATGTGTTGTTCCAAAACAGAAAAAGACAGCCACTGAGCAGCAATAGCGACATTTATATTCCAAAAAGTCTGTGCCATGCTTGGGACACATCTACAACATAGAGAACAGAAATACCAGATTACATTGAGGATATTTCAACAATACCTGCGGTCACAGAGATTGTTCGGAATTCTGTATATTGAGACCATACGGAGCTCCAAAACAGACTGAAACATTTATGATATATACATACAAATCCCAAAATTCTAATCCCAGCTCTACCATAATATACATGATTCACTTAATTTGTTTGTGAATGTTTCCTGATCTATCCAATTGGAAAGATTAACATCCTACTTATCTCCTATGAAAATTTCATGAATGTATTATGAAATAATATTTCATTGGTGAGAAAACATGAACATTTGACTCAAGTTTAAGAAGATGAAAAATTATTTTATTACTTCTTGAAATGTGGTGATGCAGTTTATGGAAGGAATAATTAAAATTGGATAAACGTGGACATACTATCTAGAAGAAATATTATGTAGAAAGAATTTTGGAAAATTAAAAATGCTGTGCACGTAAGAAAATCTTGGGGAAAAGATTTGGTTTATTATTGCTGCTACATTGGTTATATGATTATTAACAAAAAGAAGTGAAATGTTTCTAGACTGTCCTTTTTACTAAATGTTCTGCTCACCTGAGCCCTGGACACATCAGAACAGGCACCACAAATGAGCTCTCTGGGGTCATAGTCATCACCTTGTCCAGCCTCCGCGTCACAGCGAGCTTCACCACCAAAATATGCCTATAGAAAAAAACACATTTAGATTCCAGGGGACACCAAGTGGCCACTGCCACTGGAGACAGGGCATGATCTCAGCGTAGCGAGATCAAGAGATCCTGGCAAACACTACTGCCCATCACACAGTCATTTCTACAAGTGCACAACTACACTGCTGCCCCTGGTGGAGACCAGGAAGAAAGGAAAGCTACTTCAATCCTGGAACGGATATATACTTAAAGCAGAGAGTTCAAATATTGTACTGTCAAAATAAAAATAACAAAGAAATCTATAATATTCCACATATAAGAAACATACAATATCCTGTCAAGGATAGGATAGAGCAGTAAAGAGAAACTATGGGTTTCAAGGATGAAATTTGAAGAATATTTTTTTTTTATTTTGCAGTATTAAGTAGGATATTCTCATCTACTTCTTTAAAAAAAAATCTTAAGACATCTCAAAATTATAGTACTGTAGAACAAAAAATAAGCCTAAAATAAATGATTAGATTTTTCTAATACTGAGGCTAAAAGTGAAGAATAAAATATAAATTTTAAGTATGTACTAATCATGCAACCATTTTTAGGCAGAAATGATAAATTTGGCAATTCTATTCAGAATAGAGGAAGCTCTAGTGGCTTTTTGTTAGGTACTGTTGAGTACAACTCAGCACCTCTATGAAAAGCTGACCTGAACCTTGCCCTATCCTGGGCCATTCTCATAATTTCTGACACATTACAGTCCTGGCTAAAGTGACCACTTCAATCTATCTCATTGGGGTCTTCCTTTCCTTCACTGACTCTCCATCTTTCCAAGCCTGATGTCTTTTTTCCAAAGAATATCCACGCCCAGCTACATGTACAAAGTATGAGAGAGGGAGCTGTCTTTTTCGCCTCCAAGGAGCAACATGAAAATGAAATTGTGCTGACAACTCAAAAGGTACAGCTTGAATCCATCATCTACTCCACAGGAGAAAGATGAGCAATCTCCTCTCATTTCTTTTACTGCCTCCGAAAACCCACTTGAGGGTCAGTTATATGTTGGCTCCAACTTGACTGCACACAACAATAACAAGAACATATGCAGGAACTCGAGTATTCAGTACATGAGACACAAATGGAGATCTGTACATAAATTTTTTTTCACAGCAGCGTTATTCACAATTGCAAGACTGTGTGAACAGCCCAAATGTCCAGCTACAATTGAATGGATTGAGAAATTATGGTACTTCTATACACAACAGAATACTATGAAGCTCTCAGGAACAACAATTTTGAAAACTACTACATAACTTGGGAGGGACTGGAGAACATTATGCTGAGTGAACCAACTCAGTCTCATAAGGATAAATACTGCATAAGACCATTAATAGAAAGATAACCAGCAAAATGTGTATGAGGATCCAAGGGGGGGCAAGTGAGAGCAGAGGGGTGAGGATGGGCAGGCAGAAATCATAGGATCACACAATTTGGTGGTAAAAGAAGGTAAGCAGTGGGTAAAGGAAATGGGAAAGGTCCATCAGGGATCTGGAAAGATGGTGGGCATAATTCAATGGTAATTGATTTTAAAAAAATATAATGAATGGGTATGAAACACAATGTGAATGAAGGATAGTGACAGTGTGAAGCATAATGTATGCAAACTTTGTGAGCAACCCAATAGAAAATAAAAATCTAAAAAAAGGAGTATTCAGTACAGACATTCAAATAAAGAAAATAATCCTGATAGATGATTTACTTATATTTGCTCTGGATAAAAAAAAATTGAGGCCAATATAATTGAAGCAATTTACATGAATATCATGTTCCATCTCCGTAACTGGTGGCCAGCCATTTACCATGAAAAACAGCAAAAGAGGGAGTAAGCAAGCAGAATGACCCAACATGAAATGATTATTGTTCTAGAAAAATAGGTCAAAGATAATTCTAATGATATACCGAAGACAGAAATGGTCATCCAGTAGGTTTATCTAGCCCAGGAGATATAGAAAATGTCCTGGTGGGTCTTTTGCTTTCTTTCTTTCTTTTTTTTTTTTCTTCCAAATATAATACTGGACTTCGTACAGCATGTGTAAGGCACGGTGTGAGAAAAACTGCTCCCACTCCCAGCCACAGACCCACCTAAGAGTCCGGCCAGTGGATTTTGCCACAATGCATAATGCTGATGCATCACTTCTTGGTTTTGAACTGGTTAGAGAGCCAGTCCAGGCCTTCATAAAGCCCATTTTCCCTGGTGGCACATGTAGCCTGGATGTACCAGTTTCTCTGGCATAGGGAATGGAGGCCAAGCTTGTCTGTTATCTCTGCTGCATTCACAGCATGGGGGAGGTCATGTTAATTTATAAATACCTACAAAAACGCATCTCTGAGCTCGCCTTCTGCTAGCATTCTGGTTAACTCTTCTTGGGCCTCATTGACCCACTCTCTGTCATTACTGTTGACCACAAAAATCAGACCTTGGGTATTTTGGAAATAATGTCGCCAGAAAGGCTTGGTTTTGTCCTGGCTGCCAACATCCCAGACTGTGAAGCTGATATTTTTATATTCTATTGTCTCCATATTGAAACCTATTGTGGGGATCATGGTCACAATCTCTCCCAGTCTCAGTTTATACAGGATGGTGGTTTTTCCAGCTGCATCCAAACCCACATAAGGATTCATATGTCTTTTTTTCCAAATAGACTCTTAAAAAGCTTTTTTCAAAAACATTTCCCATCGTAACTGAATTGTTACCTGTCCCTGCTCTGAGGCCATAATTAGGTTAGATCATAAACACTGCAGCCACTAGAATTTCAGCTCTTCTCAGAAAAATGGTGATGGACCGCTGGTGGGTCTTCTACTCAGCCTAGCTGGGAGCTCTCGGGATGGAGTTCATAAGGAATTGTACTGCCAGCCCAAAGGCTGTGTCTCTCTAGTAGTCTGCTCTCACCAGCTTCTCCTCAGGAGAAAGATTGGCAATCTCCTCCCATGGGGCTTACAGCCTCGAAAAACCCACTGGAGGGTCAACTATGAGTTTGTTCTGACTCAATGGCAATATGTGAGTGAGTGAGAATTCCGCTAATAAAGATTACAGTCTGGAAGTCAAAGTTGATGCATGTAGTAACAAATGTGTCCATCTGAAAAAATATGTGAGAAACCCAAATACCTGGTAAGCAAGTTGGATCCTACCTGTAAGCACCCTAAATCTTAACACTTCAGGAAGGTTATAATGGTATGGGAGGTGAAATCACTAGAAATCAGGGTGATAAGAAGGTATTATTGGAAAAAGAATGCTTAAGAGGTAGGTTTTGTGTGCTTTTGAGTCAGAAAGGATACAAAATTGATCCTCTGTTGAATTTTCAGAGGCTGTAAATCACATGAGAGGAGACTGCCCATCTAGCTCCCATGGAACAGCTCATGGATTTGAACGTGTCATTAGGCTGGCAGCACAGCTCCTTATAACTAGGCCACTAGAGCTCCCTATAGAAGGGGAACAAAAAAGAACTTACAGAAATAGGACATTTAAAAGGGTATTTTGCGCAGCAAACTATGAAAGTAAGCATTTTAATGAGAGAATCATCCTAAGTGTTAAAAAAAAAAGCTTATTCCAGAATTGGATTTGGCAAGCACAGAGTTGTTACTGATGGAAAACAGCTTATGCAAAATGGTACAAACATAGTACATGCTTCTGTAATTTTACATTTGGAACACTGAAGCTGTTACACACATAAATTCCTAAGATGCAAGAATAATTAGGTATCAGCATACAATTTTACTTCATAATCATAGACTTTAGCTAGAGCTCTGAAACATTCTTAGTATAATTTACATCATACCTTTCTACACTTGTAGCAGACATAATATGCATATCTATTCAGAGCATAGCCAGCTGGGTCGTTATAAAACCTCACACCAGGAGTTGTGATTGCTTCACTTTTATGTAGACCTTCATATTCCAACCTCATTAGGGCCTTTCTTCTGACGTCCTCATAGAGTTCTTTAATGGGATCCAGCAGGTCTTTTAATACTATATGATTTATTTTGTTCTGAAATGAAAATGAACATTTTTGGAAAAGAATAAATTTATTAGTTATAAAATAGCATACAGCTAAATACCAAGACAGTATGACCAGATAGTAAACAATTTCCAACTAAAAAAAAATCCTGTAAAGTTTCCCCAAGCCCATTCTTTTCCAAGAGCAGGGAAAGTGGAAAAACGTTACAGAGTATTAAAACGTCATATTTATTAGATGTGTATTTCCTGAAATATATATGCTGCTGCCTTAGCTATTCCTAGGGATGCCACAAATAAGATGCACACTGTGACTGTTTATGTTTGGATGAAGGATATGATATTAGGGGTTTGAAATATGCAAGCAGTACCTTCTCTTTTTTGTTGGTAGTTTTAGGTAGCTTAGTAGTAAGGAGTTGCACTGCCAACTCAAAGGAAGGCAGTTTGAATCTACCTTTCTCCTTGGGAGAAAGATGACCAATCTCACCATATGCACTTTTCAGCCCCTAAAAAAACAGACTTAATTATGAGTCAGTTCCTGACTTGATGGCACATAACAACCACAACACTGACAACAGTGTTTTCCACCTCATCTTCAAGTATTTATTTCCAGATTTCTCAATGTGACCTCTCCTGGTGGGAATGTGTGAGAAAGAAGCACAAAGTATTACAATCTAGTTGATTATTCTTCAGTTTAATTAAGCAAAGATTGTGCTCTTTCTTTGTTATATTCTTTACACCAGTCTCTTAATCTAATGGAAGAACAATAAGGAATAAAATTAGTAGGGAAGGGAACTGTAGGGAAAATTAGTAGGGAACTGTCAGTTACATTATTAACAAAGGTGATCTCTACTACCTTGTCAAAATAATTTGCTATTTTTCTTAACATTATTGTTGAGACACGTCAAAATATCAAGAACACTCTTCTTATTTTAGCCACGTCTATTCTAATGGCACTGAAAGTTCAGATTTCATTCCTAAAATGCAAGCATGAATATCTGTAAGCACCATGGTATGAATCTTTTTAGATGTTAATCATTGCTATTTATGTAATAATCTGAACTCTTAGGGTGTTTGAAAGCAGTGGTGTGCATGTTCTGTGTGGCATGACGATGTTACAAGACACTTTGCAACACAATACATTTAATTTAACTTGATTTAAATTGAAAAGGAGGTTTGTGGCATAATAGTTAAGTGCTCAGCTGTTAACTAAAAGGCTGGCATCTCAAACTCATCAGCCCGCTACGTGTGGCAGAAAAGTCATGACCTACTGCTCCCATAAAAGTGATGGCTGAGCAACCCTGCAGGGCAGTGCTACTCAGTCACAGAGGGTTTCTATTAGAATACATTTATTGGGGGCTACGACTCCAGAATCTGGGAGAACCCCAGTGAGTGCCGCATCCAGGGCCTGCCGCCATGGCTGCCTACCAGCTCGTGTCATCCGCCATGGCGAGAGCGCCTGGAACCTGGAGAACCGCTTCAGTGGCTGGTATGTCGCCAACCTGAGCGGGGCACGAGGAGGCCATATGCGGTGGACAGGAGCTGCGAGATGCTGGCTGTGAGTTTGACATCTGCTTCAACTCAGTGCAGAAGAGAGCGATCTGGACGCTCTGGACAGTACAGGATGCCATTGACCAGATGTGGCTGTCAGTAATGAGGACTTGGCGCCTCAATGAGTGGCATTAGGGGGTCTGACTGGCCTCAATAAAGCAGAAACTGCTGCCAAGCATGGTGAAGCCCAGGTAAAGATCTGGAGGCGCTCCTATGACATCCCACCACCACCGATGGAGCCTGACCACCCCTTCTACAGCAACAACAGTAAGGATCGCAGGTATGCAGACCTGACTGAAGATCAACTGCCCTCCTGTGAGAGTCTGAAGGACACTATTGCCAGAGCCCTGCCCTTTTGGAATGAAGAAAAGAGTTCCTCAGATTAAGGAGGGGAAATGAGTACTGATGGCAGCCCATGGCAACAGTCTTCGGGGCATTGTCAAACATCTAGAGGGTCTCTCCGAGGAGGCCAACATGTAGCTGAACCTGCCCGCTGGAACTCCTATTGTCTATGAACTGGACAAGAACTTGAAGCCCATCAAGCCCGTGCAGTTCTGGGAGATGAAGAGGTGGTTCACAAAGCCACGGAAGCTGTGGCTGCTCAGGGCAAGGCCAAGAGGTGAAGCCAAGTAGGCAGACTGCTGTCCTAAGGCATACCCTCCCTGCCTGTTCTGTTCTCCTGTACTGCTCCCCTGAACATGTTACACTGACCACATCTGTAGGCATCTTTAGTTGTAGCTGCAGACTGAAGGGGAAGTGGTGGCTCCCATTTTAGCCATTTTGTCTTCTGCACACTCTCTTTCTAGTCTAGTCAGAATGGCACTTCTGGGCCATTGTCCTCAGTCCAGGGCATAGGAAAGATTTCTCATCCATGAGAGGTAGTGACTCCAGGGTTTTTGCTAGTTGTTTGTTTACTATCTGAGTAGGAGATAGGGAGGAACCACCAGGTATGACCAATAAGGGGAAGCAGGAGAGATCGGTCCTGTTGCCAGGAGCCAGTGTCCTGTTCTGTTCTGTAGTAAGGGCACTCTAGACATTCCAGTGGAGGATGACTGTAATACACATTCTGATTAAACAGTCTTTCCTCCCTGACCCCAGAGGAGCCGGCTCCAGAAGGTTGGGATCAAGCCTGAATGTTTACGTGTTGCATTTTCTTTTACAAAAGAAAAAAAGGCATAAAAGACAAAACCCCTTCTAGGGTTTCTGGTGGCAGTTTGAATGCCATGTCAGAAAGTAAGCCATTCCTCACCCCGTGGGGTAAAAGGCTCCTTAAACTCTTAGGGCTTGGAGTCCATCTTGTTGTGTATTTTAGAATCCTTCCCCTGTCTTACTGTTTGCAACAGTGAGATGCCTATAGACCATGTCCAAATGTGTCTCCATTGTGTTTTCTGAATCATGTTCCAGTTGCTGGGCCCTCCCACTGGGGCCCAGAACCCAGTTTGAACATAATTATACTAAAATCTTTTTTCCAGATCATTATAATAAAGGAGTGCTGTGCAATAAAAAAACCCCAAAACACAAAAACCCAACATTTACTGGATGGCAACCAACAACAGTGACAGTTTTAAATGGCTAATTATTCTTGAAAATGCATTTTAATAGACAGGTCTTATTATATATGCAGGTACCACCTAGATGGGAGTCTAGAGAAGTGCAGTTAAGTGTCTCTACTAAATGAAATGTTGGCAGTTCAAAATCACCCAGAGGTACTTCCAGAGACATGCCTTCTCATAAGTTTTTGTGAAGTTTCAGCCTTGAAAACCCAATGGAGCAGTTCTTTTCTGCACACATGTGGTTATCAAAACTTAGAAGATCACTTCAACCAACAACTATCACCTAGGTGAGAAGGACAGAAACTGATAGGGCTGTGAGTGAACCATGGATCAGGAACGGTACAAGAAGATGCTGACAGGCATTTAACGTGAGTGATGAAAGGCAACAAGGAAGATGAAAGCAACAGAGCAGATCATTTCTCATTCTTTCCATACCTTGCAAATGGGACAAGATATAAATCCAAATGTTATCCTTGGACCAAGCCATCTGTTTTCTAAAACTCGACGACAGCACTGTAAGTGGAATACATGACTACAGTCCAGCTTAAATAAAGAAAAGAGAAGAATGTAAGTTTATGCAATAAAGATAACACGTGAATAAAATGAGGTATTATTCAATGTAAGGTGCTACTTAAACCAAGTAGGAGATAAATGAAGAAATCGGGCAAAATGCAATAGTGTTTCTATTATTGATAGGATAAGTATTGACTAAGTTTTTAGCTTCTCTCAGTATTTTTCCAGTAATAAAAGACTAATGCTACTTATAGAAAGTAAGCCAGATTAGAAAAAGTGTAAAATTATTCAATTTTATACTTAACCAGATTTTTTGAGAACATGAATTATTTTGGAATAGAAAAACCCTAAAAAACAAACATAAAGCACAGGTGTTGTTGTTAGGTGCTGTCGAGTCGCTTGCGACTCATAGTAAAAGTTAAAAAAAAATACCACAACTAATTTTGCAGAGTAACTTCAGTAATACAGATATATGTACTATGTAGGCACAGAAGTAAATGATATAAAAATGGCATTTATATACTTTATGGTTAACATAAAAACACAATCCTGGATTTTGGAAGAGTAACCACTCAAAAATCTAATTGTCTCTCTTCCCTTATGAACACTTTATAGATCTACTGTTTATATAGGCTCACAGAAATCACAAAACTAAACATACAGACTGTTAAAGAGACCATAAAGACCCTGAATTTGTCTTTCAATGAACTGGTATATGTACACATTAATGGGACATTTCTTACTCTATACAGGAAAGGATTTCAATCAAGTATTTATGACAAATACACTAGTATTTCTCTCGTTTCAAATCTGAACACAATACATTAAAACAGAGACCTGAATGGCTGGTGCTGCCGAGAGCGCTTCAGTGAAACATATCATGCACATGTCATCAGCATCTTGCTTCAGTGTTGTCGCATTTTTATCACAGCCATGGAGACAGGGCAAACAATGCTCTTCGTTCTTAACCCCTCCACACGGATGCCCACACGGATGTGTCTTACTGCAGGCTATTTTAGCATATTCCTATTAAAGGTGAATTATAACATCATATACAATATGAAAATGGTGCACATTTTGGTAATTTTAACTATTACATTAAGTGTTCCTGGTATTAGCCCCATAAAAAAATACATTAAGGCTAAGTAACACAAAAGTAGTCTTATTTTTATTCTTTTCTTGACTATACATTTGGTAGCTCTGGTGGCCTAGTAAGTAGATAAAGAGCTATGTTGCCAATCCAAAGGCGGGCAGAGTTCTATTCCACCAGTTGCTCCACGGGATATAGGTGCCAATCTCCTTCCATGCAATTTACAGCATCTAAAAACTCACCTGAGGGTCAGATATGAGTCAGTTATGATTCTATGGCAATGATTTTGACTTTTAAAAATATACTTTAGGATTATTAATGAAGTCTGTGTTTTCTTAACATGGTTAAAAAATAACTCCATATTGAAGAAGTGCTGATAAAAAGTGAATGAAAACTTTAATCTACGTGGAGTTTATTATTCAAGATGGCTTTCCTAGTCACTGAACTTGGCTCTGCTATGTGGGTGGGTAGCAATAAGCAAATAGGGTGTGTTAGCTTATTCACAAGGGTACTGGCTAGCCTTGCTATTAATCAGAGTGCATCAAACAGCAGAGCACTGAAGAAGCAGCAAGAGAATGTAACATGTCCTTCAGGCCCAGAAATTCTTGCTCCAGCTGCATCTACTGAAGCTGCAGCCATAGCTGAAGTAGAGGACTAGAGAGACCTGACATGAGACTGAGCTGACTGCTACCCTCATGGACAGAAAAAAAGCTAAGAGCCTTTGCCAAAGTTTTTTTGACAATTGTGGGGTGAGGGGAAGTCAATATTGACAGGACAGAGAACTCTGAGACACTGGCCTTAAGCTTCAAAGATCAAGGCTGAGGTTCTTGTAAGCATATTTCAGAAGCTATCCTGAATGTATTCTGCTATTAATAATCACTGTAACCTTTTAACTTCCCAATATAGCTCTGTGTGGTCTGTGAAGTAAAGCACTGGATTTTGGAGCCAGCAAAGCAGTAAGGTTCCTGTTGAGAGGAATAGGAAAAAGTACAGGAGTGTGGGGGACATGTCTGATTTCATGGGAACTGGTTTTACTGATGTTGTGGACAGGAACAGTTGCTTTTTTGTGCAGTCAGTAAAGGTCAGACATGGTCTTCCCTATGTGGCTCTTGCTCTTCTAATATTCTATTAGTTATCATGGTATCTCTCATTACCTGAGCTAGCTGGTTTTCAGGTACTTGAACTGTTATGGTTATGTGCCATCAACTCAGAAATGTCTCATAGCTGACTGTCCAGCAGGTTTTCAGAGGCCATAAATTGCAAGGAAGGAGACTGCCCACCTTTCTCCTGTGGAATAGTTGGTGGATTTCAACCATTTGCCGTTGGATTGGCAGTACAACGCCTTACCACTAAGCCACCAGAGCTCCTCACTTGCACTGAGGAACCAAAAACCTTTAGACAGCACAGGACATGTCCAAAGTGAAAGAATTATTACATAGTGGAAACTTTTAAAAAATATTGAGGTGGCAAAGAAAATGCATAGGTTCTTTGCTGTTTCTAGCATAAAAAAAGATCTTAATGCATTTGATTGTGGTAGCTAAGAAACACAGGCCAAAAAAAATCCCAAAAGGTTGGCTGGAGTTTGAGAGACTTCTTTGATCTATTTTCCAGCTTTGATACTGAATTTCTTACATGTTGTTGCTGTTATGTGCTATCAAGTTGCCTGTGACTCATAGCAATCCTATGTACAACAGCTCTGAACTCTGCACTATTGTGAGCCAATTTCATTGTCTCAGATAGACCTAATCCCATTTCTCCAATTATTGAGCCAATGCATCCCATTCTGGGTCTTCCTCTTCTCTGCCATCCCTCCACCCTTCCAAGCGTGATGTCCTTTTCCAAGGACGGTCCTGGAGACATGCCGAGGTATGTTATAGAGACCATCAAAATCCTTGCCTCCAGGGAGTAGCTTGATTTTTCCCTCTCCAGAACAGACCTGTTTGTTCTCTTAGCATTCCATGGTATGTTCAATACTTTTCTCTAGGACCACAACTCAAAGGCATCAATTCTTCTTCTATCATCCTTAGTCATTGTCCAGCTCTCTGATGCATAGCAAGCAACTGCAAAGACCATAGCCTGATAAAGCAAACCTTGGTCTCTAGACTGACATCATTGCAGTACAATGCAATTAGTTTTTTGATTTCCTGACTGCTGGTGCCAAGAGTGTTGACTGTGGAACCAAGCAAGCTGAAGTTGTTAACAATCTCAATCTCTTTTCCATCTGTCATGAAGTTGCCAAATGGCCCAGTGAGAATCTTTGTTTTCTTGATATTGAACTTCAATCCATATTGAAGACTACAGTCTTTACACAGGTGATATATTAAAACAGAAGTTTTAATATGTGGTAGATATTATACCATAATCCCAAAGGCAATTGCTTCTAATCTATCAGCTGCTTGGTGGGTGAAGTATGGGCTGTCTCCTTCTGTGTGATTTACTACCTCTGAATACCCACTGGAGAGTCAGTTATGCATCAGTTCCGACATGATGGCACACAATAACTACAAGGTTGTTGGATGGCCTACACTTACCTGGCAATCTGCATCAGAACACACACTGCCCACAGCAGACAACTCTGTCCCACTCCGAGAGCCGCAGAAACGGCATGCTTCTGAGCTGCTTGTGGTCGGTTTACCTAGTTACAAAGAGAAAAAGAAGAACCTCTCTATGTATAAAATATGCAAAAACAACTGCACAAACTATGCTTGTATCAATCAGTTCCCATCACTGATGAATTAGCCTGACAGTTCTACAGGAGAACAGTGTAAAATGTAGTAATTACAACGTCAACAGTCATAAAAAAGTGTTACTTCTAATTGAGATGGTCAACTGAGTCAATGTTGTATGGTGCCAAATCCAGGCAGAAGGTAACAAAAAAATAAAATAAAAATACAAAGAAACACAAAACAAGTGGAAAAAACCCCTTAGTTGCTGAAGAAAAAGTGTATTAAATGTACATGTTATTTTTCTTTGCTTAAATTTATATATATTATATATATAAATGTATATAAATATAATATTATATCCTATATATTATATATTATTTCTATAAAAATATATAGTTATAGACATATACTTAACATATATTCAATAATAAATATATATTATATATTTTTAGTGATTATTTATTACTATCAATATGAACAGTACCATTTAGAAATTGTTATGAAGCCCTAGCTCTAGGAAAACTTAAGACTATCATAAAATCACATAACCTTCCAGATAGAAATTATCTCAATGATCAATGCAGCGATTCTCACCATGGGGCCAAAGCTATTAGAACTAGAAGGAGGTATCAATAACATTGCCTCTTATCCACAGAGCACCTTCCAGGGCACCGTGCTTATTTATGGGAATCTACCTAAAGCCTCTGATGGTTATCAGTCTCTGAACAACTATCTCACTTTACAAATGAGAACGCTGAGTTACTGAGAGGCTGGACAGGGTTGCCCAAGGCCACATAGCTGGTGAGTGGCAAATCAGGTCTCCTGATTTAATCTAATGTTCTTCCTAACACATCAAGAGTCTGTTTCTAATAAATATAACACTATAGAGAGTGATCAACTGTGTAATCACAAGACCCAGAATATTCCCCAGAAGTATTCATAGTAAAAAAAAAAAAAAAGAAAAAACACCCCGAAGTGTTAGTTAGGGAACTAAAGTCTAGCATTAAAAGTATTCACAGCAAGTTAACTGTGAGTACTAGACACTGCTCAGTCTTTAATCCTTTTACCTGTGTGCTCTCGGAATTCTACCATTGCCTTCATGGTTTTCGAATCTGCCAGTGCCATCAACCAGAACAATTTGGTTCTACCACAACCTTCATGAAGGTCAACTTTTATAGCTTCTTCTTCTTCTTTGAATACCTATTTTTTCATTAAAGAAAAGGGGAATAGATAATTACCACTCTGAAAGAAGAAAACATTTTTTGTTAATGCTACCAAGTCAAAGGTGGCTGATTTTAATCTGCGGCACTCAGGCTTGGTTTTAATTGCTTTTTGGTTAAATATTCCTCTAAGTGGAATAGCACTGGTCTGTCTATTCACTGTACAGAGGTAATTCGTGGTGGTTGTGATGCTAAACATTGTGACACTGATGTGTCAAAATGCAATAATGGTTATCCATGGTGAACGGTGTTTGGTGGAGCTTTCCAATTAAAACAAGCTTGGAAACAGGAGTGCATCCACTTCTGAAATAGCTTGCCTCTGAAAACTCTATGTATGAACTTGGAGAAATGATGAAAGTTATACAAGTATTCATGTCTTTCATTCATCTCTAGGGTCACTATGAGTCATCTACAACTTGACGGCACTTAACAACAACAACAACAAGAAGGATATTAGATTTCACCTATTCTATATTCTACGAAATTTCAAATATTTCACCATTTTCTCCTCTTTAATCTTTAAAAAGAGAATTTATAAGTGAGGAGACTAAGCCTCTGAGAACAACTTGTTTGGTTTATAAAGCTGCTCTATGAGCCAAATGGGCAGTTATATAAGCCAGGAGGAAATGAGCCAATGTCTTTGATTCCAAAGTCCTTTTTAACTGCCACTCCATCAAGCTTCCTTCCACATTCATTTTACAATTTATTGAGTCTATTTTGTACTTCAGGTACTGTTCATGATATAAAGTCAGAAATCTTCACCTGTCTTTGATGAGTTTTGGTTCGACGATGAAGGTGAAGAAATCTGTCACAGTCAGTACACAGATTCCCACAAACGTTGCACAGAATGATGGCTGCAGTTTCACCATCATCATGGTTGTCACACATAGGCTATAAGAAGACATAAGTGAGTTTAAAAGATGAAAAAAAATCTCAGCTACTCAAAAACAGAATGTAATCTATGAAACACCATTATTTTAAGCCTAGTAAGTCACCATTAAGTCTACTAAACATTTGGAATCTAAATTATAACAAGAATTATGCTATGTTCACTTAATTATAAAAATTTCTCAAATTAAAGTGCTTTACAGGTACAATGATTATGAAAGAAATGTATACTGTGTTTAGTGACAAGGATTTCTCTCCCCAATAAGGTCAAACATTCTAGTTAGTGCACTCTTTATGCCAAAGGAATAAATAATTCATTTTAAAAACTTGGAAAATCTAATGAGAAAATGCTAAAGAGATCTCCAGAAGTTCATCCCTTCCACTGAATCTAAGGGTACCCATCAAAGACACACTAAGTACATTCACAAATGATGTGTCATGTTGCCTATGCTACAGTTTTATTTCCCTCCTACTAAACACAATTTTTAAAAAGCTTCACTAATTGTGTACTTTTACTTACTTTCCACCCCTTAAACTAAATAAAATAACCTGTAAGAACAAAACCAGACACATTTTATAAAACATTCTGATCTTACCATCTGTTTTTGCTGCCCATCTTTTCCCATCCACCTCCCTGAGGAGAGACGATCCACATGGTCTTGATCAAGAACACACAGTGATGCTAGAGCAAGCCAAAGCTGTTGAAAGGAAAGACTGTTAAACTAGTGAATTTTTAGGAAAAATGTACAAAACACACACTGCTTTATATAGGATGACAGACCAATAAATTCTTGATGAATTTGAAAATATTTACACATCCATAATCAATTTTTCCTGAAGCTGCTTCCAGACACATACACTCCCTACATTACACACTGCACAGGCACTCAAATGTTCACTGAACACATTTCTATCTGACATATGAAACTCCCTTTTATTTATGTATTATGTAAGCAGCATCAGAGCTCTGGTGGCCTAGTGGTAAGGAACTGTGGTGCCAACCTGAAGGGATGTAGTTTAAATTTACCACCTGCTCCATGGGAGAAAGACAGGAAATCTCCTCTCATGCAATTTACTGCCTCTGAAAACTGGGATTCAGCTATGAGTCAGTTCTGACAATGGTACATAACAACAACAACCATTATGTAAATAGCATATAAATAAATGAACTCACATACTCATTTATTGTAAAATGAATTCTTCATGTTCTCTATACTAGTAATATCAGGCTCAGGTATTAAATTCCAAGGAATTTATCTTTGTACACATTTCTGACTGGTTGGGTACATAAAATGTCTTGTAGATAATAACATTGTCTCATGAGTCTCTTAAGTCTCACAGTTCATAGCACTATGCATAATCTACTTTGTCAAGAATAATTAAATAACATAGAACATTGCCCTAAAAATAGTTTAAAAATATTCCCAGGCTTCAAAGGTGAACATCAATTTTACACAGAATAACATATTCCTTTTTTTAATGACATATTCTTATATTAATGATACTCATAAAATTACTAAACTGGCTAAACTCTTTTAAGTACATATAAGTATCAAGAATATGAAAAATAAGAAAGGGAAAACCAAAGTCAAGGTCATGAAAGAAGAAATAAGTACAGAATGAAAGGGTGGAGTTCATTCATAGAGAGGCAGAGGGCTGATGTCAAAGAGAACAGAAAGAGACTACATTAACGTACAATGGAACCACCAGAAACTCAAGGTGGCTTCAGAAAAGGCCATGGAACAAGGGACATCATAGCTTATGTCAGATGGATTTTGGCTAACAGCAGAGAATACAAAAAGAGAATTATCTGTGTTTTACTGACTATGCAAAGGTATCTGTGTAGATCACAAAAGTCTATGACTAACACTGAGAAGAATGAGAATCCCAGAACACTTAGTGGTGCTCATGTGAAATTGACATCTAGATCAAGAAGCTGTTGTCCAAACAGAACAAGGGAATACCACATGATTTAAAATTAGGATAGGTGTGCATAAGGGTTGTATATATTCTACATACATATTCAATCTGTATGCTAAGCAAACCATTTGAGAAGATGGACTATATGAAGAAGAATGTACCATTAAGATAGGAGGAAGACTCATTAACAATCTATGTTACGCAGATGACACAACATTGCATGCTCATAGTAAAGAGGATTTGAAATGCTTGCTGCAGAAGATCAGAGACTACAACCTTCAAAATGGATTGCATCTCAACATTAAAAAAAAATCCTCACCAATGGACCGACAGGCAACATTCCGATAAATATACAAAAGATGGAGGTCGTCAACAATTTCATCTTACTTGGATCCAAAATCAACACCCTTGGTACCAGGAGTCAAAAAATCAAAAGATGAGGACCACTCCAAAGAACTAAAGGGCAAAGATGTCAGTTTGAAGACTAAGTTTCACCTTATCTAAGCCATGATCGTTTCAATTACTTCCTAAGCATCTGAAAGTGGAATAATGAGTAAAGATGACAGAAGAATCAATGCCTTTGAGTTGTGGTGCTGGAGGAGATACTGAATATCCCATGGACTGTGAAAGGTATAAACAAATCTGTCCTGGAGAAAATGCAACGAGGATACACTTAGAGTTGAGAATGGTGAAATTTAGCCCCTCATACTTGGGGTATTTTGCCAAGAGGGGCCCGTACTTAGAAAAAGACATTATGCTGAGAAAGATGGAGGGCCAGAGAAAGGAAAACCCTCGACAAGATAGACCAACACAAGTGACTGTAACAATGGGCTCAAGCATATCATAGATGAGGAGGCTGGTACAGTATAAGAATTCAGATGTGCTATTCATGGTGTCACCATACGTCACAGGCAAGTGGACAGCACCTAATAACAACAACCGTCACCACCTACTGTTAGGTACTGAAATACCAAAATAATGGAAATCAATTATGCAATGGTGAACAGTAACGATCACCAGATTTAAAACTTAGCATTATTTAACAAAAGAGACATATGTTGACTTAACTGATGAACTGATTAAAGCTTATTTAAATCTACTACTGATGAGGAAGACACAATGACACAGATGAAGTGAGACAAAAACCTACCCTAGTTGTTGCAATACACCTCACTGGAGACCTAAATTCTTCTTCCATCTTGGTCAATGCAATGATCGTTTCTGCAATGGCATTTTTTGTTACTCGGGACCACGCTTCCGAAAGATGACCCTGCCAAATAAGAGAGTACTTTAATATGCAAGAGAAATATATTAGAAAATTTTGTTTAAATAAGTACATCTTGCCAAAAAAGAGAAGAGAAAATAAAAGGAAAGCAAAGCAAAGCAAAGCAAGATTGGTTGGTAGCAAGACTACAGAATTTTAACGCTAAGACTTTTAACATAAAATTCCTTTATGTTCTTATGAAATAGTAAATTTCTCATCAATATTTTATGATTAAAAGAAAGGTAATGAAATACTTACGTCCCTAATGCTTCTTTTCCTATACTGTTCAAGAGCATTTTCTCTTACATTTAGGGGAAAAAGTAACGTAACAGAATTACAAATGTATAAGGTGTCTGTACTCGAGAAATTTTGGTTCTTAATCCTTGTCATTCTTTCTGATAAGTATCATTGGAACCAAGAAGCACAGATGCACTCACACTACAACTACTTCTATTTGCTAACACTCACTGTTAATAGAATGTATGTTTCTCTAAACATTTTTATTCAATCAAGACCCTGAGAAAGTCCATTGGTCACAAAAATTGTGAAAATGTCCAGGCAGTTGAAAAGAGGTGCATTTCCCCCACTTCTCATCAGTTCTCTAAGGGGCAGCTTAAACCCCTCTTTTCCCATGGTGCCTTCCGTTTATTCTAGGACTCTGGAACTTAATTCCACAGTGTGGTCTCCTTCGCTATACAGCAGAAGAATTAAAAACCAAGCACTCCAGGAAATTATCTTCCATACTCCCAGAATTCCACTCAAAGCCAAACATCTTAAGACAGAAGTACAGAGAAATTGCCATTCTGGGGAGTTTTTTTAGTAGCTGAGCTCTGGTAAGGAGTTATGCTGGCAACTCAAAGGCAAGTGGTTCAAATCCATTAGCATTTCTGAGGAAGAAAGATGGACAATCTCCTTCTATATGATTTACAGCCCTAGAACACTTTTGAGGGTCAGCTATGAGTCAGTTCTGACTTAATGGAAATGAATTGAGTTGAGGTTATTCTTTGCTTAACCGCCAAGCCTTTCATCAGGATTAATCTGTTTAGGCTCAAAAGGCCAATCTTTCAGCTAGCATGTAACCATTTATAGCATTCAAGGGACTGACTCCACACTAACTGCAGCCAGTAAGTGAAGCAAAATACCACTATTCCTGGTCACCTATCAATTGTGCAGAATGACCTCCTTGTTCTGTAAGTCAGTTTACTACTGTAATTTCCCTGACAAGAAGGATTGAGACTTACTGCTGCCATATCCTTTATAAGTTTAATGATGATCTCTGAGATCTGGGTAGGAGTTGAACCCTTCATCCACCAATGGCTTTCCCCTCGTCGAATGTAACTACAAAGAAAAACCAGCATTTATCAGTGACAGTTGATATAAGTGAATAAGATGAAAACTACTATTTTGGACCATAAAATTTTCATTTCTTCTCTCCTCTATATTATATATTTATTTGATGCTATGGATATAGGTCAGTAATTCTTAAAAAATATATATTCTTTCTTTGTGGATGAAAAGACACATTATATCAAGCTGGATTTTGGTGGTGCTGGTAACTAGTATTTTAATTTTCTAAGTGACTACATCAATGAAATAATTTGAAAAAGAAATAAAACATTACGCATAATCTAGCTCTTTAATCTCAACAGAAGACAGTTACTCTGATTTGTTTTCTTTTCAAGTACTTTTACTTACATACGATTTTTGGTTTATCTTCTGAAAATATACTATTCAAAGTAGAGACCTTTCATTACATGTGCATTCATAAATTACCTCTTAGAAGCCCACTCAGAGCTAAGAAGGATCCTAGGCCAAAAGGTAAATCAGTTTGCACTGAGCATACTAGTATTTAGTTCAGTTGATTTTCTTTTTTTATAAAAAAAAAAAGTCTAGATGAAGGGAAAATCATTCTTATATACATTCTGACATTTTCTTATTTTATTATACATTGACTCCACAGGAGTTGTTGGTCATTTTATCTATTTTTTTTTTAAATTTTTTTTTCATTTTATCTATTTATACACTAAAGTTTGTTCCCTCTCCTTTTTCTAATTTAACAGAACGTATTCTTTCTTTCTTTAAAAAGAAATGTAGCAATGCTATTTTCTTTTTAATTGCTACATGATGACAAGATAAAAATCAAAATAGGCTGCCATTAACATGAGACATTACAAGGTGTCTGAACATTCCTCTTGACAAACACCATGACAGCTCTGACTTCTTTCTGCTCTTACACATAATTCTAGAGTCTGTAATCTTTTATGTGTATCTTTATTCACATGAATTAATATTTTTGAGGGAAACACTTTTAGAAGCAGACTGGTAGGTCAAAGCATATGCATATTTAAAAAAAAATCATTTTATGAATTTTGAACATTACAGAGATTTTGGATTTCCATCCATTGACTTTTCTCCCACCTTCCCACCCCCCCAGTTTATTCATCTCTTCAAAAAGCAAAAGAGAGACTCCTTCATTGGTATACAGTCCCCCCTTCCCTTGCCCCGAGTGCACTACATATATGCATATTTTGATTATGGAATATGCAACCTGACACCCAATCACGGTGGTAGTAAGTTATGTTAGAAGAGCATGACAATGACTACTTCCTCATAAAGCTGCCAAAGTATCACACAGATTTTAGTTTATCTCTAATTCAATGGGGTATTTTCCACCATTTTTATTGTTATTTGCAAGTTTTCTTCTGTCAACCAACTGTTCTTTTCTTTTTTTCCTGTCTTTTATTTTGTGTGCCTTTCCCATATTGATTTGATGTAATTCTTCTAATATAAAACTATTACATAATTATGATGTACATCTCAAATATTTCAGGTTAATTATTTGTTCTGTAACCCATTTGAGTATTTTCTATTCATTAATTTTAATTTTTAAGAAATCAATTAAAATCTGTGAATTTTCCTCCACATGTTTCAGAAGATATGTTCCTAAATGAAATATTACATTATATGGTAACATTATTCTCCTAGAATTTGTCCTAGTAAACTTTAAAAAGTATATATATATATGTGTGTGTGTGTGTATGTAAAGTTTTATCTTTTCTGAAGTTTATTTTCATATTAACTGAGTCAGTGTCAAAATTTTCCCAAGTGGATCTCCATTTATTCCTGCATCATATATTTCGCAGACTCTTCTTTTTACATGTATTAGAAATGATACATTTCTGATATTCCCATTTATATATGCATCAGCCATTTTTAGATTTAATTAGATGAATGAGCAAGCTTGTAGGATCTGCAATTGTATTATCATTCTTCAATGCCAGCTAACTCCTGTTCTCTTTTAGTACTAGAACAGAGGCAATGACAAACCTTGAATTGAAAATCATTGGAAGGGTGACTGTGGTAACTCCTTTGCCCACAGTGGTCCCAGCTGTTCCTGTGATGGTGGTTCCTTTGGCTTTTAGCTGTACAGTAAGTGCTTTGGCAATACAGCCCAGAAACATGTCCAAGATTCCCAACTTATTCCAATCTCCTTTCTCTGTGGAATGAATGATATCACTGATATCTGCTGGGGGAAGGGATTTCACACCTATGATGCTGGCCAACCGACTCGGAGTCACTTCAGGTAAGACTCGTCTTAACAAGGAAGTTACCTGGTAAGGAAAATAATAAATATTTTAAAGTTTTCAGTTTGTCAGTGAACCTGGCCTGTCATTCAGGCTTCAAGAGTTTTTGAGAAGACCTGAAATATTAGTTAGATAAAATTTTTAATTCTTAGAGTGGTAATTTCTCACTAGAGATAAAGAAAAAAAGGGGGGAGGGAATCAACAGCAACTTTTTATTTGGCTAGGCTTAAAGGAAAGTCACATTATATTTCAAATTATCAAGACAATTAGTAGCCTTATCACAGCACAATGATATGTAACCGATTTTCATACTGTCATTACAGTGAGATAAAAACAAATAGGGTTAAAATATAAACTAAGAACAAAACCTAACAAAATAAAATAGTAACGTATACTTTGAGGTAATTCTTCCTGCAAGTGTGGTTTATTTGTTGAAAGGATCATTTCAAGCAACCAAGCAGGCCACAAGGTGGGAGTGGGTCAGTCACCTGTCTCTGCACTCTGGGAGAGGCTGTGTGCAGCAGGGAAAACAGGTCCTGGAGCAGAGTGAGCTGCTGAGCCAGATACTGCCGCCCCACGTTAGAACCACTCAGAGCTAAAACCATAGACAACAGTTCAAAGCAGTAGGCGTCTGAGGAGGCATCTTCATCATTTGGCTGGGAATTGGCATTTTCTTTGCTTGATATGGCATGTTCCCATTCTTCCCGAACTCTGGTGGCCTCCATGCGAATAGCCTGGACGATGTGAGCACACACCTAGTTCAAGGGAACATACGGAAACTGTAAAAATATATCTGTAAGACTAATTTTCACTCCTCCTAAAAAGCAAAGAGCCCTGGGGGCATTGTTTTTAACAGCTCAGAGGGCCATTAACCAAAAAATTCAGCAGTTCAAACTCACCAACCAATGTAAGGGAAAAAGATGTACAGCTTAATTCTGCACAGACAGTACTACACAGTCATTCAGGGCTGCGATGAGTCAGAGTCAACAGGTTATAAAAAACAAGACAAGAATATAAACTGATGTTCAATTTAACACCCTTCCTCTCAGTTAATGTGACATTATGCCATTTTCTTAACTCATTTTAAAAAATCATTAAGGTTAAAATTACAATATTTAAAAACTGATAATCTAAATTTACCTCTGTTTCTGCTTGTGGTTATCAAATAAATATCAACTACAGTCTACACTATTTTACCATTTCTAAGGAATTTTTAAAAAATAATCAGTGGGATTAAAAATTTAATTTTCAGCAATTTTACTTACATATAAAATAAATATATTTATTATAGATATTATCAAGATTTTTAAAAAAATTTAAAAAGATAATGCACAAATGAAAGCAAGAGTGGCATCCACTTCCTAAACAACATGCCTCTGGGAACTCTATGAACTTTGAAAAATGACAATAGTTATAGAAAGGCTTTGGGCCTTTTGTTCAGGGGTCGCTGTGAGTCATGCTCGACTTGACAGCAATCAACAACAACGACGGCAACAACATACAAATATATCCACAGTGTCATTTATTTTTTTTTTAAAAAGATTGAGTAACATGGAAATGTAAAATAAGCTAACTTAAAAGTCAGTATTTTCACTCAACATAAGTGAAATATTTCAATCACAATGGACAAGCACTGCAGAAGACTGATGCAATAAAACAGGATTGAAGGGGAGCTCTGGTCACCTAGTGGCAAAATGCTGCACTATAATCTTGAAAACATGTGGTCAGAATCCTGCAGATGCTCTGTTGGAGAAGGAAGAGTAAGCTCTTCCTGTGCCAGTCAGATCTGACTCAACGGTGCACAACAACAACAACAAAAAGAATTAACATGGTGGGTGAATAGAACAAAAAAGAGTAGACAGATAATGAACATTGCACTGGAATAAAGAAAGGAAAGTACTGCCTGAAAGGAATGTATGACTAAGCATTATATGTATCTAGAACAATGCGTATATGATAAAGTGAATTGGGGAAGGGAGAAAAAAAGGAGGAAAATGTGTATTAATAAATAAAGGGAGCTCTGGTAGCCTAGTGGCAAGAAACTGCACTGCAATCCTAGAGTTATGCAGTTTGAATCCATCAGATGCTGTGCTGGAGAAGGAGGGGCAATCTCCTCCTGTACCAGTCAGAACTGATTTGACGGTAGACATGCAAAAAATAATAATAAAATTTTTTTAAAAAGAGTGAAAACTCAACCTTTCTATAAACTTGCATTAATCACACACGAAAAGATCACTAAATATTTACCATTAGGTTACTCCAGTGAAGAAGCAAAAGACTCATGTTAAAGTGGAACATCAGTAGAAAACCAGAAAACAACCTACTAAATACAATGGATCTGTGATATTAAAAAAATCAGTATTTTATTTGCTTTGAATGTTATGTAGTCACTCCACTATATATGAGCAATTTAGTGCTATTTTCCCATTCAATTGTATTTTTTATTTAATTGTATTTTTAAATATTAACTCTAGTTTAACATTATCACTGTTCTGCAAGACAACAAACAAAATCAGTGACAGAAAAACACAGGAAACGGCAAATGCAGGCTCCATGGGAGAAGTACGTGCCATCTCTTACCATGAAATTTACAGCCTCAGAGCACCCACTGGAGGGTCAGCCATGATTCAGTTCCAACTCAACAGCAGTGAGTGTGTGTGTACCAAAACCCAAGAAATAATACGAGCAGGAAGTAAGAATGTGAAGATGCAATACAAAGTTTCGAAAGTGATGCAGGAATACTCAATCCTCTCTAGATAAAGAGAGACACATTCTGTAGAACATAGAGAAGAGGCACCATAAAAAAAACAAAACAAAAAAACCAACTTTTTATAAATTTTGTAACATGCTATATCCTAAAAAGCAAAACCAAAAATAGGATAAAGAAGGCAGTACTGTTGCAGCTGTTGCTGCTGCCTGGGACTGGGCCCTCAGGGAGGAGCAGGCGAGAAGATGGCAGACGACCCCAGTGCTGCCAACAGGGATCTGTTAGGTCAAGAAGATCATCAAAAGCTTGGAGGCGGCCCGCAGCAATGGCACAAGTATGATACCGCTGATCATTCCTTCCAAAGACCAGATATCAAGAGTGGCAAAAATGCCAGCTGATGAGTTTGGGATTGCATCTAACATTAAGTCTGAGTTAATCACTTTTCAGTCCTGGGAGTCATTACATCTGTACAACAAAGACTCAAACTTTGTAACAAAGTACCTCCAAATGGTCTGGTTGTTTACTGTGAAAAAGTCTAACACAAAAAGGAAAGGAAAAGAAAGTCAACATGACTCTGAGCCTTTCAAACCAATTAATACATCACTGTACTTGTATGACAACAAATTCCATACAGAGGCTCTTAAAGCGCTACTCTGAGACGATAGCAAGTTTGGCTTCACTGTAATAGATGCTTGTTGTTGTTGATTGCCATCAAGTCGAGCACGACTCATAACTACCCTATGAACAAAAGACCCAAAGCCTTTCTATATAGTCATTTCTCAAAGTTCATAGTTTCCAGAGGCATGTTGTTTAGGAAGCGAATGCCACTCATAGTGGTGCACTTTTTGGCACACTCCAGGGAAACACAAGAGAAGTCCTGCACAAACTTAACTGTGGGTCTCCTAAAGAAACGTGATAGAAGAGGTCAGTCTGCCTTGTGTTCTGCCCATTTAAGAATGGAAAAATGATCCCAAAATCTCTGTAGATGTTCATTGAAATGAAAAATAAACAATCTAAATGAAAAAAAAAAAGAATGGAAAAATGACACAATTATGTTCAGAAAGTAGTTGAGACTGCTGTGCAAGCTGTTAATTTCTGGGGAAAAAGTTAATGTGGCTGGTCTCATTTTAGGTAGATCAGCTGACTTTTTAAAACTGTACTAAGTCAGTCTGATATGTTGATCAGAGATTGCAATGGCAAGTTTCAAAATTAGTTGATATCTCTTATGCTGGTGAAAACGGATTCAGCCAAGCTATTGAGCTATCTATGGAAGTCCTCTCCAATGTGAAGTTCATTCAAGAGAAGAAATTAATAGGATGATATTTTGATAAAATCAGCCAGGTCATGGGCAAATACTGTTTTGGAACTGAAGATACACTAAAGGCTTTGGAAATGGGAGCTGTAGAGATTCTAATAGTTTTTAAAAGTCTGGGTATAATGAGATATGTTCTTAATTGCCAAGGCACAGAAGAGGAGAAAATTCTCTAACTCCAGAACAAGAAAAGGATAAATCTCATTTCATAGATAAAGAGACAGGACAAGAACATGAGGTGATTCAGAGCATGCCTGTACTAGAATGGTTTACTAACAACTACAAAAAATTTGAGCTATGTTGGAAATTGTCACAGATAAGTCACAAGAAGGATCCCAGTTTGTGAAAGAGTTTGCTGGAATTGGAGGTATCCTGCGCCACTGAGTAGATTTCCAGGGAATGGAATATCAAGGAGGAGACGATGAATTTTTTGACCTTGATGACTACTAGGTAGTGGACATGGGTCTGGCAAAACATGCCTCACCCTCCAGCATCCAAGCCAAGGAGTGGTAGAATCCAAACAGATCTCTGCCTTACAACTGAAACATTCTCAGAACTTAATCCATGAGCACTGGATACTGAAAAGAAAATCGAAACAATACCAGGTCTGACCCTACATTTTGATTAGTCCTGGTGTCGGTGAAGCAGCCCACAACTAAATGTCCTAAATGTCACTATAGACTCTTTTAAAAAAGAATCCCAGTTTTTACTTTTACTTGATGGTGAAAATTGGTTGTTCTTGTATTTTATGGGGGAAAAGACAGACTTTTTTAACCTTCATACATAAGAGCAAAAAGACTTGAACTGCTGTAAAACCTTCAAAAGTTAGTAGATGTGACATCATTAAAAAAATAAAAAGAAGGCAATACTGGTTATTAACTAACCTGTTTCTGTAAGTTAGTCAGTTTACTTCTGCTGAATATTATTCCAACCATGTGTTCTTTCAGGTCAGCATCTGATGTGGCCTTTGAGAAGAAAAAAAGAAGTCAGCTCTTTAAAAGTAAATTTGTGATATTTGACACTTTAAAGTATCTTGAGAAATAATTATGCGGGTATTTTTACAAGGTGAAGCTATTTATGTTCAAGTCTATGACACTAAAACAAAAGATAAAGTTTGAAGAAATCAGCCCTGAGCAAAGAGACTGTACAAAAGAAAATTAACTGCAGAATTTAAGAAATACAGAGAAATATACTATCTTTTCATGGGTTCCTTTAGTCAATTTGAGTTCCTCTGATTCAATCTGTTTTAAAATTGTAAACATTAATAGTTCAGATACTACACTCAGTGGTTAGATGAACAATTTAAGAAAATGAAATTTTTGGTCTCTTTTAATAAAGGTTTTAAGAAGATGTCATGAAGAAATGCATGATAAGAAAATTAAGGGGCGAATTTTTAAAAGGCCTGTTATGTGTGTGGTGTAACTAACTGGTAGGGTGTAGTGCTGTGACTCAAGCTGATGGTTTTCAGGGGGTTCAAATCCACCAGTGAATCACAGGCCACGTCCTCTCATGCAATTTATGGCTTCTGTAGTGGATTCTAACTTAATGACAATTAGTTGAGGTGCTGAGTGTTATGTATGTGGAATTCAGAGTCTGCTGGAGTGGAATCATGCTCCATGGGGTATTCACTGACCAAATTTTTTGCAAGTAGACAACCAGGCTTTAAAAATGTGCATCTGGATAGACTTGAGCCTTCAATATTTTGGTTAATAGTCAAAAGTGTTAAGTCAAATATGTCCCACCCAGGGACTCTTATTCATCCGTAACTGTTCAGTATATACTTTCATGCTGTCAGGACAGTGTCTTCAAAAAGTTCTTACTCATAGCCTGTCTATCAGTCCAACTTCTATCCATTTATCTTTCAGCTCTCACTTTAGTTCAATATCCTGTAAGAAAACGTCCCTAACCAATCACAACTTCTACTTAGTTTGTTATATTTTATGGCATGTGAAAAATTTTTCACACACAGAGTAAATGGATTATGTATATAGTATCTTCAATAATTTTTATTTTTAACTTTTTTGGAGGCAGTAGGTGGGTGGAAGGTTTATATATTTAAGTATATGTGTATATGTGTGTGTGTGTGTGTGTGTGTGTATAAAGAGAATACAAGTTTTTTGAAGCCTATGTATCCTCATGGTTGTTTTGTACAGAATTAGCATTTGCTAACTTTTAGTGATTCAGTAAGTAAGCAAATAAATCTTTTCTATAATATCTCCAAAAGCTGTTGAAAGAAACTCCTGAGTTTATGAAATCTTATTTTTTAATAGACTTTGACTAGAAAAATAGGGATGATTTAGATAATGTATTACATGGCACAGGTCTTGGTTGGATAAATTCTTGAAATTATTTTTCAAAGGGCTAGAAGGATGATTATCTGTAACATCTAAAACAAATGAACACTATAGGTATTCAGGTTTAACGTCTTTTTTTTTTTTTTTGTACAGATAAGTTTTTTCTTATACATACTGTAGCTTAGACCAAATAAGGAAAACATGACATTTTAAAAGAAATTTCAGTAACAGTATAAAAAATAGTTATTTCAACAACAATTTACTGGATGTGGGGTGCTTATGCCACGGTCGATACAAGGAACCATGAGACGTGCAGTGTCCAGACCTCCAGGAGCTTATGGCTCAGTGGAAGAGGGAAATAAATACACCAAGAGAACCCAGGAAAAGATACATAGAACATTACGAATTTGGGCAAGGAAAAAGCTTTTGTTTGGGAAAATAATAAAGAAGGCTCATGGAGAAAACGCTAATTTTGAGCTGGACTTGGACGAAGAGATAAGATGGTCGAGGGAGATGATAGTTGATGGTGGACAGCTCAGGGTATGACTATTGAATGTCATACACGTTAACATTTGAACACTCTAGTCTAACACAAACAGTAAATTTTGTTGTTACTTAAGAAAATCACCACCACAAAAAGATAAAGGTAAATAATCTAATTGAAAAATGGGCACAGGATATGAATAGACACTTCACCAAAAAAGACATTCAGATGGCCAACAAGCACATGAAGAAATGCTCAAAATCCCTAGCTCTAAGAGAGATGCAAATCAAAACAACTATGAGATATCATCTTGCCCTAGTCAGAATAGCAAAATTTAACAGAACAGAAAGCAACAAATGCTGGCGAGCTTGTGGAGAAACTGGAACCCTTATTCACTGTTGGTGTAAGTGTAAAATGGTGCAACCACTGTGGAAAGTGGTGTGGTGTTTTCTCAAAAAGTTGCAAATAGAGATACCATTTGACCCAGCAATTCCACTACTGGGAATGTACCTTAAAGAGACCATAACTGACATCCAAGCAGATATATGCACACCCATGTTTATTGTGGCTTTGTTCACAATAGCAAGGAGTTGGAAACAATTCAGATGCCCATCAACAAACGAATGGATAGAGAAGCTGTGGTATATTCACGCAATGGAATACTATGCTGCATTGAAAAACAAGGAACTCATGCAATATTATTCAAAATGGGAGACCCTGGAGGACATTATGCTTAGTGAAATATCTCAGTCACAAAAGGACAAATACTGCACAGTGCCACTGTTGTAGAAAGGGACTGATACCAGGGTTGGGGTAAAACTGAGAAAACCCAGATAAATTATGTATACTGCATTGAAACAGATGAGGGAGAGAACAGTTTAAAAGTGATATATGATAGGGTATTATAGTTATCACAAGAGTCCACAATGAAGGTTGCATAGTGGAGTGTACTTGGGGCGGTAGTGGTGGGCTGTAGGGGGATTGTGTACCAATGAAAGAATTTTTCTTTTACTTTATAAAGAGAGGAGCGAACTGGAGGGGAGGGGTGGGCAGGGAAAAAGTGAAACAATGAATGAAAGGAAATTCAAAATCTCTATAAACGTTCATTAAAATTAATAAAATGAAAAAAAGAAAATCAGATTACATAACAACAAATTATTTTAACTAGTTTCATCTTTTTTCTAAGTAAAAAAAATCAACTGCAACTATTATCACCTATTAAAATACGCAGTAATTTATTAACTGTATAAAATAAAAATAAGGTATTGATAGAGAAGTATTTTTAGAATACAAATAAATACATTGTATACTTTTTCCTCTCCTTCAGGTGAGGACAGCAGTGCTTTCTCCTCTTGTTCTGGTGTTGGCTCAGCATCTCCAGAGATGAGCTTTCCAAACACCTGATGGAATGCAGGTATGTCAACGTGAGAAAGAATCAACAACAAGATTTTACCATTCTGAAAACCTGAACTCATTAGCCCATTCTGCAGCTTTTATCATACAATACTATTTTATAATAAAGTACTATTGTCTGCTGCAGCTATCCCAGTATTTTTTCTGAAATATAAATATAAAATAAAACACATGATTAGGGTGGGGAGAAGAACAAATGGGCCACATAGCTAGAAATATCTAACAAGTGTAGTAAGAGATTGTGTTGTTCTATTCAAATCCATTATTTCTTATTACCCATGTGAGAATGTAAAGTAAGGACACTCACCTGGGATGTGATAAGTCTGAACACTCGGAGGGTCTCGGCCTCGCAGTTCCTCTGCTGGGCCACACTAGCTGAGATCTGCCCAGCAATTTTTGTGCTTTCTCCATCTTTCCAGCCCAGCACTTTAACCTGACGCACTCTCAGTGTATTTTCTGGGCCCTTCAATTCAATTTTGATGATGTGATTGTCCCCTCCAGGAAGTTCACTAGTTACCCAACCAATGTGCCTGGAGTCCAGATCAACCTGGGAGAGAAGAAAAGGGAATTGACACAGTTAACCCACTATTATCAGGGTCCTCAATTCAGCAGTAATCACAAGCTCAAGCAATATGCATTTGTACGGATAGTAAGATTTATTATTGCAACTGATTATCACATATGAATCTTGTGAAGACAAGTACTATTATTCAGATGATATATTTTAAGACTGATACAGATTCAAGGACTTTTAGTAAATTGTAGGGCTGAGAATTCAAATCCAGGTCAGACTAATACAGTGCTTCTCGGTACAAGCTTGCAGGTGAAGTCAACACAGATGATTTTCATGGTTGTATTTCACCTGCTCTAGCTGTAAACAGAAATACTGTTCAAATATTGATCTAATACTGATCAAAATAGCAGCAACATGTCCTACTTTGTTTCACAGTAAGGCACCATATAAAGATACATACGTTTGCTGTGGTGGTACTTACTATGTTGACTATTTAAGAAAAATTACATAATATGTAATTCACAATTGTGATTTTTTTATTTCACTGAGGATACTATTTCCCCCTCCCAAACATTGTATTTCCTTTATATTATGAGTTTGGTGAATATTCACTTGATAAAATAAAAAAGTTGTTCTTATGATATTTGATGGGTAAGAGATGGGGAGGCTTTTGCATTGTTAATGCACATATTCAAATTTATATTGGTTTAATTAATAATGCCAACCTTTCTAAACATTAGGCTGTTAAGCCAGAATTAACACCATTTAATTAAACAGGTTTCTTTTCATTTTTTTTGTTTACAGGTTTCTTTCCCAAACTCTAACAGTTTAAATGCAATTTATTTGTTCAACCCAATATCTCAACACATTTTTTTAGTATGATTTGGGGGGAAAACTCAACAACAAAAAATCTGGTCCAAGTTTCTTAGGATAAAGTCACTAGAAAAGAACAGCTTTGCAAAAGTTTCCCCTATTTAAACTAAATGAGCTTGCCTAGAATCTCATGCACATTCTCAGAGAAAACAAACTTGTTTCAAGAGTTGATTGGCAACATTGATTATGACTGCAGTGGTTTATGTGATAGATTTTCAGGCCATAGGAAAAGAACATATTTTACCCTAAAAGTGGGTAAATGATGTGACTTGATCTAATATGAACGATGAAGGGATCCTGGCTCCAGCCTGTTGCTATTTTGTTGTTTCCAGCAGAACACAGAGGGCAATAATGTGTATGATTTCTACTACAGACATGTTTGTTTGTTTGTTAATATAGTGTTTTGTACATAAATTATTTCTAATAATACTTTAGAGTGTCAAAGGAAGAAATCAACAATGAAGACATAGGAAGAAAATTTTCCCTATGTGGTTATGAAAAAATTTTATTTACCTGTTTGATTCTGCACAAATCTTCTACTGCTTTGCCAGTTAAAAAGGTCATTGATGTCACCTTATTCTAAAACAGACAAGTCAAAGTTATATTTTATTTTTCTGAGTTAAGAATTTATATAATTATTTCTTATGACCACTCATGTCAAACTATCACTTCCGCATGTCTTTCCTAATTGACATCAAGGTATTTATCCAACCAACTAAAAATACTACAACGCTCATCTTTTCTTATCCTCAAAACTTCCCTCTAAAATTTCACATTGAAGTCTTTTTCAATGAGTCCTCTCTTTTTATCTAAAATGTAAATGCTCACATTTAGTCTCTATGATGAAGCTTTCCAACACTCACTGTCACTCTCTTTCCTTCCTATATTCTCACTGCCTTTTGGGACTAAAAGGATAGCAGGCAGCTTAATCTACAATATATGCGAGTGTTACAATGGGCATGGAACTGCCTTATAGACACAGAAAAGGACATAATGAGGATGTGGGTTGGGTTTTCTCTCTAGATACTTACTAAACTATGGAAGGCATGTTTCATACACAAAAACCCCCCTCACTTAGTTTAAATTTAAAAAGCTTCTTAAGAACTGAAGAAAGTCATGTTGGTATTATAGTCAGAGTAAACAAAGTAGAAAAAAAAGGAGATTAACATATCGATTTGTTGGAATTTGAAGGGCTACAGACTGATGATGCATTTCAGATCAACATGCTGCCCACTGTGATGGTTATGTGGGGAAAAACATACCCAGTGGTAGGATCACCTCAAAGATGCATGTAACTTAGAAACAGTTTGTTAAAAGCAAAAAAATCAGCTTATGTACCATAGCTTTTTAAAAATACTATTTCCTAGAAAAGATAAAAATGCCAAATTGGTAGTAATCACTATTTTGTGGAAGCCAATAGCCTGTTTTAAATGAACTATGAAACTAAAAAATACTCTTTTACCAAACTGTTAGTTTTAGCCAGAAAAAAAATGCTATGATTTACTACATTTCCTAGTAAGATAAAATAGTTGTACCAACTGAAACTCTTGGGCCTGGAGAGGAAATTAGCAGTATCTTGGCTAAGCCTCATTTCTGACCCAGCATCAGGGAAAAGCTGGGTCTGCACAGGACAGGAGTTGGTGGGCGTGGATGCAGAGCGCTCTGACTGGAGACTGGACTGCTGTGGGTGGCAGGAGAACTAAGCCTGCTCACCATTATAGCTTCTCTCAGGACAGACAATATGGACATGGGCCAAGAGCAGCTCAGCCATGTATCTGCTAGAACACTACACTATTTGTGAAGGAAACAATTCCAGGTATTTTATCCTTCCTTGGGAGTAGGGGCAGAAGAACAAAGGTTTAACAGCAGTTACTATTTCTCCTCCACTCATAAACCAAACATTTCTGTCAAGCTGATTCTGACTCATAGTGACCCAAGTGTAAAGAGAATAGAAACTGCTCATAGTGTTTTCCCAGTTGTAGTGGAAGCAGATTGCCAGGCCTCTCTTCTACAACACTTAGTAAACAGGATTTTCTTGATTGCTTAGTGTGTTAGAGCATCTTCATGAAAGGTGGAGAGGCTAGGGAGAATGTAAATTTAGGAAGAACGTAAATTTAGACTATTGAGGTGAGCTCAGTAGCCTCAGTGGGGGCTGGAGATTAGAGTCGAAGATACTTAAGTCTATTACTAGGTCAAAGAGTAGTAATATTGAAAATACAGAAAAGGGAAGAAATAATTTTTTGTCACTAATTTTATATCAGTAAAAGATTCTTTTGTTGAGTTTTAGATAACCTGATTCTGACAGGCAGAGTTTGAGAGGAGGATATCTAAGTCTTGAAAAAGGTATAGAGGTAGAAAAAGTCTTAAAGTTGACATCTGTTTGTTGTAGCTGTGGATGATTATTTGGACTTCTTTTTTAGAACTGGTATTTCACAGAACCCCACACATATTAACTCTTTTCAGATTAAAGATTTGGAGAGTACAGAAATGTTGGTTGACAAATAATCTGATAGTAACTCTTTTTACCACAGTCAAAATGAGTGTATGATTACTAATTTCCTGGAAAGAACAAATAAAATTTATCTTCTTACTCCAAGATCTCTGGAATTGTCCACGTGAACAGACACATAACGGGCATTGATGCCTTTCACACAGTTGATGGTGATATTCTTTGTTTTGTTTTTATCCTCATCTCCTGATTCCCAAAAGGTTTCTGTGGAACCATCTGTCAAGCTGCCAATCATTGCAGGTCGGCTTGATGTTTTAATGTCAACAATACTAGTTAAGTCTTTCAGGCATATGACTATACACAATTCCTATCAAAAACAAACAAATAATTGTAATATTAAAAAGGAAAACATTCATGAAAAATAATTAAACATGAGAAAATAAAAGTAAATAAGATAGATTATTTACGAACAACTTAAAGTTTTTCCTATTGATGACAACTTAACAAGATAATATTCCTAAAAACTGACCTGATTCATAGCCTCAAAGCCAGATTGTATACTGATGCTAAAACTCTCTTCACTGTCTCCATCATCTGATTTTGATAAAATGTTGTTAATGTGATGAAAGACATTGCTTTGATGGAGGAACTGGTGATCAGATTGCTTGAATTTGAGACTCCAGCATCTACAAGGATAAACAAAATCTGAAAAATTTTTGCTCAAGAATTCCTAGAAAAGCACTCTGTAATCTTACATGTCAAGATATTGTAATGTTCTAGATAAAAAAGAAAACTCAAAAATATTATCAAGGTGCAAGATGACTGTTGCCTTCCCCCCCCCCCAAGAGAAATAAAAAATTTCTTTGGAGCAAAGCAACTTCTTAGGAATATTCAGCATATTTTAAGCAGAAAATAATTATGTGCACAGGAAATCAAGTAAAGATAAGTAAAAAGACAGTGAATCTGTTTTGGGGTTCTTTAAAAATTATTTTATTGTGATTTTAATAAAAAGTAACAGAAAACTTGGATGTCCATTCATTGTTACACATTTTCCTCCTACTTCTCCCCAGTTTGCTCTTCTGTTTTGTAGAAAATATTATACCAACTATTATAGCCTTTCAAGTTGGTAAGTCTTAAAATTATCTATAATTATACTCCTTAAAAATCTTGGGATGAATAAAAAGATCGTTTTTCTGCTTATCTTATTATGTGGGGGCATAAGAAGGCAAATCCACCAACATATTTCTTATAAAAATCAATCATGGGTCTACCGTATGTGTAGATTAATAGTTAAGAGATCTACCTATAATAAGTAAATTAGATGATGCGCCACCAGGTAGCAGCAGACAAGCTCTATTTTTCTAAATATTCTTTTTTAAAAAACAACCTTTATCTCCATTTTAATGAGATGAGAATTCATTTCTATCTGTTCCCCCTTTTTTTCATTTACATTTAAGATTCTGCTCTCAGGCAGCACTGAGGCAGGAGCTTTAAGGTAGGAGAAGGAAAAGATTGTTACAGACAGTGCTTACTTACCCAATTCATCTAAAGTGATAGCTTTATCATTTTTCATAAAATACATAAAAAGAAATATGTACGATTTATAGAGGCTAAACGTGTGTGATAAAAAGACAGACAATTCTAATTTATGACAGTAAGGAGGGCAGTGCTGTTTACAGTATTTGGGGATTCTTTGTATCTTATAATTTAAAAAGGTTTTCCAAGCAAGTTACACCTACAAGAGTCACAAACATCTTCTCCAATGTATCTAGGAGACTGAGAAATGAAATTACCGTAGGGCCATTTGCTGTAATGAGCTGCCACTGGGTAGAGACATCATGAGATCAGAGATTGTTTGTAGCAAGCGGTGAAACGTGTGAGGTAAAGGATGTGCAGCCTCCCCGGCTATCACTATATCTGAGAGTGGATGCTCACATACCCGTGTATCTTTCTCCTGAAGAAGAAATTGAAAGCAGTTTTATCAGTCTGTCTGCTGGAAGTAATTTTCCCCACATAAGAATATTATGTGTACTTTAAGATAACTTCTATAACAAAAATGTAAGCAACTAAAGCAAATCATGTCCTAAAACATGCATTAAGTAAGATTAAGTACTTCTGTTTGTATTATTTTTATGTAGATAAAGTGTCTTAAAGTTACTTATCATCAGCAAGTAAATGACTATCCTATCAATTCTAGTGTAATCACAGAGCTATTATTTGGATAGTTTAGACTGTATATACATAAAAATATACATAGCAAGTAAGTGTGAAGATCATGGCCTGGACCAGGTGCACCTTAGACTTTAGACTGACACTGCTGCTCTTTGAGACTCTGAGAGGTCCCTGACAGAATTTCCCAATGTGATTTGTGATTTTTTTTTTAAAGTTTATTTTACATTGATTCGCTTGTAACGTTTGTATACATTGTGTTTCACACTATTCTTCATATTGTTCCACACAATCATTCCTACTCATGATGTTTTATAAAATTACCATTGGACTATGCCCACCATTACCTTGTTTTTTCAGCTCCTTACCAGAACTTTCCCATTTCTTTTACCCCCTCCCTCCACCCACCAAATTGTGCAGCTCTGTGATTTTACCCTTACCCATCCTCACCTCTCTGTTCCTGCCCTTTCGCCCCTTGCATTTCCATACATGTTTTACTAGTCATCCTTCTATTTTTACAGTAATTGTCTTATGCAGTATTTGTCCTTGAGATTGAAAAGATATGGAAAGACTTTTCACAGAGGAGGACATTTGGATGGCCAAATGACACATGAAGAAATGGTCAAAATCACTGGCAATAAGAGAAATGCAAATCTAAATCACAATGAGATACCATCTCATCACAGTGGCAGTGGCAAACTTTATAGGAGGGCAGCAAGTAAAAAATGTTGGTGAGGATGTGAAGTGGGAACTCTCATACACTTTTAGTGGGATTGTAAAATGGTACAACCACTCTGGAAGGCAGTTTGGCATTTCATAAAAAAACTGAACACAGAAACTCTGTACGGCCTGGCTATTCCTCTACTAGGAATATATCTCAAAGAAATGAGAAGTGAGATACAAACGGAGATTTGTATACCAATGTTCATAGCAGCATTATTTACCGCCCCAAGAATATGGAAACAGACCAAATGTCCAATGCCAAATGAATGGCTTGAGAAATTGTGGTATATTCACTCAATGAATTATTATGCAGCACTCAGAAGCAACAATTTTGAAAAATACTACATAACTTGGGAGAGACTGGAGAGTATTATGAGGAGTGAACAATTTGTCTTTGGACATGGCTGATGCCATGAATGTTGCCTGTGGAACTGATCAAGCTGAAACTGTTAACAATCTCAATCTCTTCTCTATCTATCATGATGCTGCCAACTGGCCCAGTGGTAAGAATCTTTGATGCAGAGCTTCAATCCACATTGAAGATGGCAGTCTTGACTTTCTGCAGCAAAAGCATCAGGTCCTCTTCAGTTTCAGCAAGCAAGTTTATGTCATTTGCCTAATGCAGGTTGTTGATGAATCTTCCTCCAATCCTCATGCCATATACCTCCTCATAAAGTCCAGCCTCTTAAGTGATCTGTTTCACATATAGATTTAAAAGGTATGAAGACAGGATGCATCCCTGATGCACTCTTTTCCCAATTTTAAACAATGCAGCATCTCCTTGCTTTGTTCTGATGATTGCTACCTGGTCCAGGTATAGGTTTCACATGAGCACAATCAACTCTTCTGAGATTCCCATTCTTCTTCAAGTTAGCCATAATTTGTTGTGATCCACACAGTCAAATGCCTTTGCATAGAAATGGAACACATAGACATCTCTCTGGTACACTCTGCTTACAGGGAAGATCCATCTAACATTGGGTACGATGTCCCTAATTCCATGACATCTTCTAAATGCAGATGTCCACATCTACTCTCTCATCTGAGAGTAGACATTCACAAATAAGTAGAAATGAAATGTATCCATTTGTGTGCTCATGGGAATCCTGTGTTGTTGGGGTAATCCTGTGTCAATCTATCTCATTGAAGGTCTTCTCTTTAACTAACCCTCTAGCCTTTTCCAGATTTTGTGTTGCATTACATAAAAATTAAACCTCACACTCACTGTCTTCAAGTTGATTCTGACTCAGAAAAACTCATGGCCAAATTCCTGAGCTTGTAAATCTTGTGAGAGGTGACTCCCAAGTCTCTCTGAGTGTCTAGAGGATTCAAACCAACAGAGAAGTCTTTTGGATGATAGTGCAACAGCAAGCACATGGACTGGGCCACCAGAGTTTCCAGCATTACACAGATTGCTTTTAGATACCATGTTTTACATGAATTATAGTGTTCTGAAAACAATGATGAAATTATGAACATTTTCCTTTTTAATAGAAAACAACTTATCTTGGAAATCATCCTTAATCAGAAATGTATTCAACACACACTATCCTGCTATACAGTTATCCAATCAAAGGAAATGACAACTGATTTTACCAGTTTATTTCATGAAAATATTGTAGGTTGTTTTCACTATTTTGTTTAGATAAGAATTGTGTAATAAATATACTGACACATTTGTCATTTTTATATATGTGGACCTATGACAGGATAAAATATTAGGAACAGGATTACAGAATACTTTTTAATGTGAGTTTTGATGGATCTTGCTGAAACTGTCATCTGAGAGGTTACTTCTCTACAGAAAAGAAGGCATATACTTGTTTCTCCACTCACTTACCAATATAATCACATCAATTTTTTTTTTACCACGTCAAAGAACTAAGTGAAATAAATAGAATTCTTTTTGCCTCTTCTTTCATTGATTATATAATGTATAGGTCTGGGTTTATGTTATCATTCCCAAGAAAACGGAGGTTCTTCCTTACATGCGGGTCAACAGGTCACCTAGATAATGTAAAGTTTCAGCATTCAGCTCTATTAGAATGGGGTGATTTCGCTTTTGCTTTTAAGAATTACTTCTGTTCCTAACTCATGGTTCTACTCCTCAGGCATGGTCTTTCTAGGGTGTCAGTTGCACCTGAAAGGTGATCATCACATTCCCTGCACTTTTGCGGGGCTGGAATTAGAATGTTTCTCTGGCTCTGAAGCTAAGAATGTGTTCTTTTTTTTTCTTTTTTCTTTTAATTACTTATTCTCTGCTAAGCCTTCAAGAATATAGTGCTTATTTCTGCACAGTATTCCATTGTGTACACGTATCACAATTTCTCAATCCATTCATTTATTGATAGAAATTTTGGTTGTTTGCATTTTCTTTTTATTGTGAGTAAAGCTGTGATAAACATAGGTGTACACATCTCCATTCATGTTTCAGTTCTGATTTTCTTGCAGTATCCCCAGCAGTGCAACAGCTAGGCCATAAGAGATGTTTAGCTTTTTGAGGAAATGCCAAACTCCCTTCCACAGAGGTAGTACCATTTTATAATCCCACTAGTAGAGCATGAGAGTTCTAATCTCTCAGAATCTTCTCCAACAATTATTGTTTGCTGTTACTACTGCTGCTGAGGAAGGGTCAACGGAGTACTATGATGAAATAACTTAGTCACATAAGGACAAGTATTGTAGAAAACTTCTTGTTGTAGTTGTTGTTATATGCTGTCGAGTCGCCTGCAACTCACTGTGACCCTATGCTGTAATGCTGCTCTATGCTAAGCCAACTTTATTGTCTCTGACACACTTACTCCCATTACCCCAGTCACTGAATCAATCCATCTCATCAGGGGTCTTCCTCTTCTGCACTGTCCCTCCACTCTCCCAAGCATGACGTCCCTCTCCAAGGACTGATTTATCCTTGCAACATGTCCAAAATATTTCAGACGAAGCTTCAGAATCCTTGCCTCCAAGGAGCAGCCTGATCTCACCCTCTCTAGGATGAACCTGTTCATTCTCCCGGTAGTCCATGGTATATTCAATACTCTTCTCCAGCACTACAGCTCAAAGGCATCAATTCTCCTTCTATCATTCCTAGTCATTGTCCAGCTTTCTGCTGTATAGCAAGTAATTGCAAAGACCATGGCCTGAATCAGGCGCACCTTAGTCACCAGACCACTCTTATGAAAACAGGAGGGTAACAGAGCAACATGCATAAACATTCAACAGGTGAAGGGGAACAGGAGAAGGGGAAAATCACTAGGATATTAGAGGCTGGTGGGTGGAGGGAGATGTGAAGGAATGGGAAAGATTCAATGGGGTGATAATAGGCATAGATCCATGGTAAGTTATTACATATGTTGTAGTTATGTGCCGTCGAGTCACTTGCAACTCATAGTGACCCTATGTACAACAACCCTAAACTCTGCTCTGTCACTCTGTCCTGTGTCAATTGCACTGTCTCCGATACAGCAATCCTGATTACACCAGTCACTGAATCAATCCACCTCACAGAGGGCCTTCCCCTCCTGTGCTGTTCCTCCACCCTACCAAGCATGATGTCCTTCTCCAAGGACTGGTCCTTCCTTACAACATGTCCAAAGTATGTTAGATGGAGCCTCAGAATCCTTGCCTCCAAGGGGCCACCCCGTTTAACCCCTTCCATGATGAATTTATTTTCCTAGCAATCCATGGTACCCTCACACTCTTCTCTAGCACCACAGCTCAAAGGTATCAATTCTCCTTCTATCCTCCTTAGTCACTGTCCAACTCTCAGATACATAACAAGTGAAGCAAAGACCATGGCCTGTATCAGATGCACCTTTTTTTAGGTTTTTTTTTCTTTTAAAATTTAAAAATCATCATGCTGAGTATGGTTAAGTGCTCAAACGCTAACCACAGGCTGACTGTTCGAACACAACCAATTCCCCTGCAGGGAAAAGACCTGGTGGTGAGTTCCCGTCAGAATTACAGCTTAGAACCTACAGGGCAGCTCTGCTCCATCATGTGGGGCCACAAAAAGTTCAGACTGACTCAATGGCATCTAACAATAACAACAACAACAACAACAGCAACAACAACAACAACAACAACAACAACAACAACAACATATACACATTAGATGTGTCCAAGACCCAAAGAAAAATTTAAATACAAACATTTGGAATCTTCTCTGTAACTTTCCTATCCAGTATCCTGTTTCCCAAATATTAGTTACTTTGTTGTTCCTGCCCAAATCTTGACCGCTTTTTCTCCCGCCCAAAAAGACTATATGAAACTCTCTGTTTCGGCTCCTTTTCCCGGCCTATGGCATTTATTCTCTAAAGGCCTTTTGCTTTTCTCAGGATCACAGGCTATGCTAGTTGTTGCCCAACACTACCAGCATGTGGTGCACGTATTTTGCTCAACCTTCAGTTGTTTATTTGAAGTAGTTAAGGCCTAGTGGGTAAGGAGTTACACTTCAGCCCCAAAGCAAGCAGTTCAAATCTACTACCTGCTCTGTGGAAGAAAACCTGTCAGTCTTCTCCTGTGTGAAAACCTGCTGGAAGGTCAGCTAGGGGTCTGTTACCACTAGATGGCAATGTATAGGAACAATAAGTCCGATACCATCTCTTTCATTATGGCCATATAGAGAACTTGGGCAATCAATAAGATTTTGTTTTTAAAAATTTGTGGTAAAATATTTATGTAATTTTGTTTTAACTTATCTGTCACATAATTGTTTCTGGACAAAGGACTTTATGGAGAAACCAGATATGAGTGATGGCATCTTTATTAATTATAAACATTTCACAAAATTTAGAAAAAACTTTGCCCACATCATTAAAATTTCATTTTTGCTTTCAGATTACCTTATCTGTGAATGGTTGGACACATCTATAAAGATATGGGTACTTAAACAAAATGCTCACTTACTTGTTCTGTATTTTCTTTGTTTGTTTTATTCTCCTCATCCTCCTCTTCCTCTGGTTCCACTGGAGCAGGCGTCAGTGATGCCACAAAATGCCACAGAATATCATGGAGAGAAGTTGTCTGGATGACATTGCACAGAAGCCAGTTGAAAGCCTGAATAAGTTATGGTTAAAGAAGGCCAAGATTAAAATAAAATGTATCATATGACTAAAAAACGCAAGGTTTTTCTTACACAGAAACAATGCCAATTCATGGATTAAGGGTTTGAAGGAAAGATACTGGAGAAATGTGACTTTAATTTCAATGAAGGCACATTAGATTATATGTTTCATTTTTTTAAAATTTTATTTTATTATTTTTGTGTGAGTGTACCGTCAAATCAGATCTGACTGGTACAGGAGGAGATTGTCCCTCCTTCCCCGGCAGAGCATCTGGTGGATTCGAACCATGCGCCTCTGAGATTGTAGTTGCAGCTCCTTGCCACTAGGTCACCAGAGCTCCCCTATATGTTTCATTTTAATTGAAGGAAATAACAATAGGGAAAAGAAAACTTACAAAATATGGGTCCAAAATAGTGTTTCAAATCTACTTTTTACTTAGAAATTTCTTTATATTATTAATTTATTCAAGCATATTTTTACCAATTTGCATTGACATCAAGTAAAAATATTTCTAAGTATATGTGACCAGTGATTAATGTCTGTTTATATTGTTCCCATGAATGAAATAGTGAGCTATTTTTCACAGACAAAGAAGTAGAATGATTTACTCTGTGTCGACCTGTGTGATAAGTAGTCGTTTTGCCATTTCCAGAGACTGGAAAACTGTCCTAGTAAATTTATCATTCAAAAGCCCTATTTCTCTCTCAGCCCCTTGCACAATTATTCTACCAACTAAAAGTTACATTCTGAACACAGAAAACTCAGAAGTATAATAACAAAGCAACATATGAATATATTTCTTTAAAATGCTTAAATATAGAATTCTAAATTGATTTACTTTAATACATTTAGTTTAAAGCTTCTAAAATGTATAACAATATCTGTTTGGTAGATCAGAGGTATCATTAAGTAGAATAATTGCATTTTTGTATTAATCAATACTTCAACAACTTCATCAATGTATTCATACCTCCATAGCAAAAACTCGACAAGCAGATTTCCTTAAGGCCTGTTTCATTGCTATTTCAAGGCCTTCTAGATCGTGATGTTGTATAACAAAAGCTAAAACTGGCCACTGGAAATTTCGTTCTCCTTTAGAAAGAGAGCTGTGGGCTGAGATTAGTCGGGAAAGCTCAGGAGATGGATGTCTCAATAGAGAAGAACCAACTTCTAATTAAAAGAAAGAAAATTATTAATTTCTTTAAGTAATACATAATAAGAATGCTTTCATGATGACATATAACTGACACTTTTAAACATTTTGCAAATAATTAAACATTTTTGATAGTAAAAAGAAAATGGTATCTAGCTTCTTAATTTTAAAAGTCTTTGATTCCTCCCCCAACTTGACACAAATCAAAATGATTTCAAATTTTACTGAGGAAAAAACTGAAGCTAAGAAAGAATAAATATCTTTTACTTTCCAAAATTCACACAGCTATTACACTGTAGAGGTGGGTTTTGAAGCTAAAACTTGTATTTTCTAAATAACTTTAAAAAGCCAAGTGATTTATTTTGTCTTGAAACAGAATCTGTATTTGATTGCCATAATTTTCTAGACTGCTTTATATAAAAAAAAATCGGAGAGTCCATAAAGTGAAGAATTTGCTACGTTTGAAAAATGCTTAATAATATTTTTACTTAAGACTTTAAAAAAGCATATAGTGATCTTCCTATAATTTTTAGGCCAAATAGTAATTTTGGTAAGTGGTCTATATAAGAAATCATCATCAAAACTATCTTCTTTTGTATTTTGTTGTTTTTGAGGTAGTATTCAGGAGTTCCAACTTGTATCTATCTATTTGATCTAAACGTGTTTATTTTTAGATATATATAAAAAATAACAAACAATTATTTAAGAAATTACAATTTCTCCAAAGTTTATTTTTCCAGAGGTGTAGTAGCTTTCAGAGCTACATGATTCTACCAGGGACAACAAGATAAGTGAGAATGCAGAAGTCACTAGAACTGCTCACTCACTGATACTTAATGGGAGGGTAATGTGAGATATTGAACAAGTAAAGGCCAATTTATCTTTGAAAATCACTAGAGAATCTCTGGATATCTCTTTCTACCATGACACAAAATCACGAAAGTCACATTTATTGACATATCACGTAGAAAGATTGCCTCTCACAATTTAAAAATTAATCCATTTCTCCTTTCAAAGATCATTTTTTTTAAAGATCAGATTTTTTTTAAAATTATCTCAAAATAGAACCATTTTCTATTTTTTTAGTAGTTCAAATATTCAATCTTCCATTCCATTTTTATACTTACCGGTGTCTCCACTGTTAACTCTTCTTCTGGGAATCGCCTTAACTCGTGCAGGTAGAATTGAGTGTTGTTTGTCATATTCAGAAGCGACAACTGAGTATGATCTCTGGAAGACAGTTCTTTTTGCCAGGTCAGTATCAGTTATGGGGCTGGTTTCCAAGCTACACAGAGAAAAATGACAGATAAAAAGTTGAGAGGGAACAAAACATAAACGAAAGTAGTGCACTACATTTAATTTTAACTGTGTAGTCAATTGTGTAATCTGTCCCCTGTGAAAAACAAACTCAAAACTACAATTCCTTTTTATATAAGAATTTAATATTTTAAAATGAATTTATGTTTTTATTTATTTCAGAATTATGGGAATCTTTTGAGTTTCCTTAAAAGTATTTAAAGGATCTCTGGGGAGCAGTTCATGGGGAATGACTCTGCTAACCCAAAGGTCATGCCTCTCTGGAGGTTCAAATCCACCAGTGGCTTTGCAGGAGAGAGATGGGTGATCTCCTCCCATGTAATTTTACAGCCTCAGAAATCCAAAGGAGTCAGTTCTGACATCACAGCATGAGTTGAGTTGAAATATATTATAATTTTTTAAGAGAAAAGATAATGCACCAAGGCTACTCTAAGTTCCTTTTAAAATGAAACACAGATGCAGGTATCATGGTATTAAGAGAAACTAGTTATACTAACGTGCACTGAAGAGAAAAAAATTAGATAGGTAGATTACAAAACTATATGGGGTGTGTTTTTTTTTTTTTAGTTAAAACCAAAAAGCCTGTTGCTGTCAAGTTAATTTATTAAACCTTATGGTGACCCCAAGTGTGTTAGGGCTTTCAGTAGTTGATTTTCTGAAATATATCACCAAGGCTTTTTTAGAAGGCTTTCTTAGAAGGTTTTTCTGGGTAGATTTGAACTGTCAACATTTCGGTTAGCAGTTGAGCACATCAGCAGTCCAAATCATCCAAGGAACTCCATGCTTTATTTTTTAGTTTTTCTTTCTCATTCAGTATCATGAGTTGAGATCTATCTCGTAGGGACTCCATATGTCAAGAGTACAACGGCCCTACAGGGTTTTCAAGGCAGTCTGTACAGTGTAAACAAAACACCAGGGGGTCAGGTGGTTCAAATCCACCAGTAGTTTAATAGAAGAAGCATGAGTAGTCTCCTCCTGCTATGATTTACAGCCTCACAAACCCATTGGAGATAGCTCTCAGTTGGAAATGGCACAAAGGCAGAGTCCTGGTGTCTCAAGGGTAAAACACGTGGTTAACTAAAAGGTTGATCAAATCCATCAGCTACTCTTCAGGAGAACAAAAAAACCCTACTAAAAACCTTGGAAATCTGCTTCCAAAGAGATAGCAGTCTAGGAAACCACCTCTGCCAGATAAGGCAGTTATGGGTCAGAACTGACTCGACAGCACACAGTAACAACAACCAGACTTTCTCCCTTGGAGCAGATAGGTGGGTTCATGCCCATCAAGTATTTAACCATGCTGTTTAGATGAAACATTCTTATGGTAAATTCTGGGAGGCAAGAACACAAGTAGACACACAACACAAGTAGACAGACAACACAACTCTGTGGGTTCAGGAGCAAAGAAGTGAAGTCTCTATTTTCCAATGTTAAATCCTTTCTGATTTAAATTTTCTATCAATACTTTGTGCATTTTGTATGAGGATCCCCATCTTTTGGGAGAAACAATACACTTGCCCAACAACTTTAGAAGCATAAACCATGATGAAGTGACCATATATAATCAAAGAGAAAAGGACAGTGGAACATGTTTTTTTGGCCTGTCATTAGCCTCTGAGTAAAACGAGTCTCTACAGCTGAACTGAGTGAATATGGAACCAAATAAAACCCTCTAATTTAAGTCTTTCTCCTTGCTATTGAGACAGAACCAACTCATTGTTGACCTTCTAGGGTTTCCAAGGCAGTAAAGAGTACAAGAAAAGATTGCCTAGCTTTCTCCCAAGGAACAGCTGCTGAATTCAAACTGTTAGAAAGATGTGGCCTTTGGTTAGCAGGGCAACTCCCTATGGACTAAGACACAGAGCTCCCTGAAATTTTAAATCAGGTCAAAGCTAATGCAGTTTTCTCTGGACTCATAAGGCTCAACTTTTTGGAAGTAAAGCCCTTTCTCCTGACTCTGTCTAGTACAAGCTTGCTAGCTTGTTCAAAATCATTGTTGTTATGTGCCGTCGAGTCCATGGCCTGTACCAGATGCACCTTTGTCTCCAGAGCTCTTGAGTATTTTAAAGAGGTCCCTAACAGCAGACTTTCCTGCAGGAGCTGCAGGTGCTGACATGTCAGGAAGTATGAATGGCAATTATGGCAAAAATTGATTGGAGAGTTAGAGTTAAGTATAGACCAATAGGAATAAGTAGTTATAGGCCAATAGGAATAGGAAGTTATAGACCAATAGGAATAGTTAGGCTAGTAGAGTAAGAGCCAATAGGAATTAGGTTAGAAGCTATCTGGGCTAAGGGTATATAAGAGGATAGAGGAGGAGGGGCAGGGAGCTTTTTGAATCACCAGAATAAAGAAGCATCGAACTGCAACGAATCCCAGTGTCATGTTTTCCTTTATCCCGCTGGCGGGGCTGGAACACGGCACTTTCCCATGGCAATACGTCTTTTAATTTCCTGGCTGCTGGTGCCAAGAGTGTTGATTGTGGAGCCAAGCAGACTAAAGCTGTTAGCAATCTCAATCTTTTCACCATCCATCCTGATGCTGCCAATTGGTCCAGTGGTGAGAATCTTTGTCTTTGTGACATTGAGCCTCAATCCATATTGAAGGCTGCAGTCCCTGACCCTCAGCAGCAAGTGTTTCAGGTCCTCCTCAGTTTCAGCAAGCAGGGTTGTGTCATCTGCATAATGCAGATTATTTATGGAAATGCATTGGTTGGGAAACAAACTAAGGCCTTTTGTATGGAAAGTGAATATGCTACTACTCAATCACCATTACTCATTCTTATAACTATGTAACAGAGATTGAGATTGTTAAGTTACAGCTTGCTTGGCTCCAGAATCAACACTCTTGGAACCAGCAGTCAGGAAATCAAAAGATGAATTGCACTGGAAAAATCTGCTGTCAGGGACCTCTCTAAAGTACTGAGAAGCAACAATGTCAATTTGGAGACTACTAAAGTGCACCTGATCCAGGCGATGGTTTTCACAATTACTTGCTGTACATCAGAAAGCTGGAAAATGACTAAGGATGAAAGAAGAAGAATTGAGGCCTTGGAGTTGTGGTGCTGGAGAAGAGTCTTGAACATAGCATGGACCACCAAGAAAACAAATAGGTCTGTCTTGAGAGGGTGAAACTGAGTTTCTCCTTGGAGGCTAGGATTTTGAAGCTCCATCTTACATACTTTGGGCATGTGGTGAGACCAGTCCTTGGAGGACATCATGCTCAGAAGGGTGGAGGAACAGCGCAGGAGAGGAAAACCCCAGATGAGATGGATTGATATAGTAACTAGGGCAATGTGGGTAGGTGGGTCAGTGTCAGTGAGACTGGCTCAGGACAGGGGAGCCTTCAGAGATGCTATAACACAGGATCACTATGAGTGGTGAGCAACTGGGTACATAATAGTAACAACAGTAACAACATTATAGGGGATATGGTGGCAAAATATGTACTATGTTGCACTGCTAACCAAATGGTTCAAATACACCATCTGCTCCACAGGAAAAAGAAGAGAAGTTTCATTCCATATTTATAAACTTCGAGGAAACTTAAGATCACTATAGTCAGAACTGACTCAACAGAAGTGAGTCTGTTAAGTTATGGTGTTAATATAAACATAGTAGCTTATCCTAATAAGCACATTTTATCTTCCTTTAGCAATTGTCTTCCTCTCCTATGATATCACAATTATTTAGGACCATCTTAAATTTAAAATTTTCATTATCCTGTTATATAAAAAGGTCACATGGGATTTTTATCCTGTCTTTCTTACAACCAATGTTAACGTAATAGGCACTCTTGGCCTTGTAAGTAAAGCATTGTGCTGCCATTCCAAAGGCAGGTGGTTTGAATGTACCGCCTGCCCCAAGGGAGAAAGCTACGCAATCTCTTCTTATGTGATTTACAGCCTCTGAAAAATTGCTGAAAGGTCAGTTGTAAGTTGGTTCCAATTTGATGGCATTGAAAGATTGGAAGAGAGAAACTGGGACAGAGAGAATAACTTACAGTGAAACTTTTATTATTACTTCATCAGTTCTCTTTTTTTTTTTAAATTATAAAGTAAGTTTATTTCTGCAGAGTGGAGGTGTCTTATGTTTACACAGAAGGACAGAATGAGGGGAACCAAATCCAACCCTTTGTTTCCCTTACATAACTGGGAATCTTACATTTTATTGGGGACCAAAGATGTTGGGATCATGAAGGGTCAGACTGGTCACCAGCTGTTCAAAGTCACCCAGGCTCCAGGGTAGGGGTGACAGATTTTCAGGGCCAAGAGATGAACTGTTCTCACTATCCATACTATTCAGGATCTTATCTTATGCATATATTTATACATTCTCTTATTTCTCTAACAATTAATAGAGCTGACATAATGCCTTCCTGAGAAGGGGTGCATGAGAGACCTTCTAAAGCACTCTTTTCTAGTTCTTAAGTGTTTCTTTCACTAAATACTGGCCATTCAACAAAGAAGACAATAAAATACCTGGGAGGCATAGATTTCATATTGCTTTCCGGCTCTTCAAATACATTAGGGCTTGCATCAGGAGTTACTGATATATATGGGGCAGGAACGGATGTTGAACGGAGGTACCTCATTTCATCTTGGAATAGGTTGTCATCCTGGTAGCCCACAAAATTTTCATGATGATGCCTGTATTAAACAGAACCCAGTAAACTATGATGATAATACAGATTTTTAGTCTCTTTTGTAAAAATAAAATCAGCACTGTAAAATTAAAAATGAAACTAATTTTCTCGTGTGAGAACTGTTCCATTTTCCAGTATTTTGGTGAGTAAATCCAACATTTACCCAAATACTTATAACGAATATTAATGTTAGAGTAGGATTAGTCCTCAACCAGCACTAGTCTATTTCTTTACAACCATACTCTTCTTGTATTCTATCATCACTGTCTTGATTAAGGTTTGTAACATGCCTTGCCTGGATTACAGAAATACACACAGCATGTAGTTTTGTAGAAATCCGTAAATCTGAAGTGTTAACACCACACTTCCATTTTTTTGTTCCCCATTAATTTTATTTACATATTAAGTATAACCTTTTGCTATACATCACTGCTAATTGGTAAGTCCTATGTTGGTTTAAACTGCACCCTACTCTCCTCCCCAATACAATTCTATCTCTTGTATCTGTGGTTATAATCCCATTTGGGAAAGGGTTGTTTGTGGTTTTGTTTTTTTTTGTTACATTAATGAGACAGTATTAGCATAGTCTGTTATGTTAATGTCAGTATTAGTGTAAAGTATCTTAAGTCAATCTGCTTTGAAATAAAATAGAAATTAAAAAAGTAAGTGAGAAGCAGAGAAGGGAGAAGAGAGATGTCAAGCTGTGGAAGATCATCCAGGAACAGAGAGGCAAAAGAGCTAAAGCTTCGGGAGCCTGAGCCGGCGCTCTGGCTCTGCACTTTAGTATCCTAAACAGTGAGACAATAAATTTATTTAAATTTTAGGTTTGTTAAAGCTTCCCAATTATTTATGTTATAGTAGCATTAGGTAATGAAGACACCATGTGAGCAGGTAATATCTAAAATCTTTAATGGTCAAGTGATGGAAAAACACCAAGTCTGGTATACGAAAGGTTGTTTTATTATGTCAGTGTGTACTGTATGAAAGCATAGGTTGTATTACTAATGACCAATATAGGAAAGTACTATACTATTTACAGGCTTCTCCTTCTTCACTTAAAACCTTTCACTCAGTTTCCATATTCCCACCATACTGATTTTCTAAGAGCAAAGCAGTTAATATAGTTTTGATTTAAAATTCTGCTAAAGTTTGCCCTCCACGGGGATAGTTATCTAACTTCAGCTGGCTATAAGGGTTAACATACTTGATCTTGGGAATGAATAACAGCTGCATTACTTACATGTTTCACAGCAATAAATGACCTCACAGCCTAGAATTCCTCAAATGTATAATGTTATTTCATTTGTGTTTTTACATATCTGTTTCATTTTGTCAAGAATCTCATATCTCTCTGCTGGATTTCCATTTACCCTTCAAAACTCTGCTGAAATATCAGATTCCATGGAAAATTTTCCCCAGTTTTCTTGAAAGGATTCAGGTAATCTTTACCTGCATCCTCTTCATATTACATATTCTATACATACTCCTTTCATAGTACTCGTGACATAACTCAAATGTTTAGTTTACTTCCCATTAGAAGTATAAGCCCATCGAAGCTAGGATTTTATATTATTTTCACCTTGTTATCTTCAGGGTGATAATAATCAGCTCATGCTAATTAAATGCCATGGATAATAAAAAAAGTTTCTTATGGAAAATACATCAGCATGTTTCAACTTCAATATTTTTAACTATTTGCAGACTGAAGATATACTATCAAATAGTAAAAGACAGCTAAAGACGTCTAAGACACATTTTGTACTAAAAAGGAAATAATAAACAAAGCATTTACATGAGGTTTTTAATACTATCAAAAATTGTGCTCTTAGTCATAGAGGAACAAGAAAACTCAGAAAATAAATTTAAGGTTCTTTAACATGCACAGTATCTTATGCAGTGTGTGTAATTAAAGCCAATATTAATCAAACTACTTCATTCGTTATTTACCAACACAAGATAGTAATCCAAAGATATTTTAACAAATGAAAACCAAAACCAACTTTCATTACCTAGCTAATGTCTGCAGGTAGAGACAAGGCATTTTAACAGGGAGATCCTCAGAGACGCCCTCTTTCACACTGGGAAGCTGAGACTGGAATGGCTTTGCAGGATGGTAACACAGAATGCTTGGCTCTGCTGCACTGCTTAGGGACAGCAGGAAGAGTGCGTTTGCTTTAATCACCTGGTGAGCCTCCATGGTGGGCAAAGCACGAGGCGTCTTAACTTGCATTGGCTTCCTCCTAGACTGTTTGACCTGGTAGAGAAAAATGCACATTTGGAGTAGTCTTTTATTATTTGCACTCTAAGTTCTAATTGGTTTTGCTAAGTATTTTGGGCTTCTACATAAACATTATGTGACAATGGGGAGCTACTTTAAAGTGATAAGGATTATGGGAAATTACATTCATGGGATGCTTCTCTCCAATGGAAACTATTTTATATGGAACATTACGTATCTTTTCATTTCATGGAAAAATGAGATAGCTATATAGTAAAGTCTATCTCCTTTAGAAAGAGTAAATAATGTCTGTGTGCTCAGGAACCCTGTTCTGTTGGAAGTGCTCTGAGTGGAATTATGGGCAGTCACTAAAAAGAATTAAGAATTAAGGCTACAAAGATGAGAAGAAAAAAGATGCCCTTCAAAGAGGAAGAGTTAAGACAGAGCAATGTGTATGTGTCAAGGCAGGGAACATAAGTAATTACACGGTAAATATTTGTTATTGAGACATATATGGTATAGATTGGTGTTCTTCCATTATTCTAAGACAGAATTTTTGCAGTGAAAATAGAAGAGTTTTGTAATAAAATATTGCCCTTCATTTCCATTTAAAGGCATATATTGAATATCAATTATGTAATGATATGACAGCAAAAATATTTTTATAATACTTTAGAAATATTTTTATTCATATCATTAACAGCACAGCCCAGAACAGGATAAAAATACCTTCTCCCTCGCAGCAGCCTGCTTTTCACGGAGGTATTTTTCTCTACAGCGATCACATACCAGATACCAAGTGCTTCCTCCTATGCCACCATCACCACAGTTGCCAGCCCATCCGCCACAAAAATGTCCAATGCTATTGTAACCTTGTCCACCAGCATACCGGCCACAACCTTGAACAACCAAAATAAATATTTAATACTTTAAGTGTCCTTAATAAGATAATCCTATTATTTCTACATTCATGACAGATTTCTCAGAGTAAAGGAAATATAGAATCATGTATCTTGATGGGGGTTATTTTTCCACATCTCTCTTCCCTGAAAAAAGCTTACTCAACTTAAAAGCATTCAGTCAAAAGATGTCCTAAATATTAGTGATACCCTGTTTCTAGTCAGCAGATTAAGAGAAATATTGGCAACCTATCTGCACAGAAGCATATATACAGCAACTGGTGAGCTCAAGCCGTCAACCTACTGGCTAGTAGTTGAACACTGTAACTACCACACCAGCAGGGCTCTCTATACACTAGATTGAAATAAACAGAGAATGTGGGTGCATTTAGGTTTACTAAAATATACCAATAAAAGTGGGGGGTATCAGTGTAAAAATATTCTGTCAGAAGTACATAAGGAATTACATATTTAACAAAATATTACCAAAGTAATATGTAGCAAGCTTAAAAATCTTACATAATCCATCACACATATTTCAAAATACTAACCGGTACTCATTACTGTAATACAAATCCTTCTGTTTAACTAAAATGAAATCTTTTCAGAAAATAAAACACTTTATATAATTCCCATAGCAAAATTCCCAAAGGAATCAATACCATCATCTGAGGTGATTTGCAACTTTGAACAGGAAAACACTAAAATCATAGGAGTCTTAATACTGCCCTGTGTATGCATGTCATTATTTTGACTGCATGAGACTCTTGTGTGAGAATCCTTTGAGTAATGCATAAACTATATCATACATTATGATGGAATTGTAATAACCTGCTTGACTAATTACAGTATTAAAAAGGCTTTACTTATATTTCCTCAAGTCTGTATTAATAAAATACTTTTAAAATTACATTTTAAGACTGTATTTTAGCAACAGTTTCCCTATACTTTAACATACTTCATAGAAAAGTTTGAGTAAAACATAAATTCATGAAATAAAAGAGGAATTCGTAAATAGTTTAACAGTACAGTTTACCTGGGTGGGCTTGTCTCATGTGGTAGGTCACTGGGTACGGGTGTGATTCACCACACAGCTCACAGATGGTGTCTTTCTCTGGTCCTCCGACTGCCAGCTGGGCCATCTCACCAAACAAATTGCCCCTCGGCCTGACTTCTGCCTTTTCTTTTTTCTTCTTTTCCTTTTTAGCCTTTTTATTTTCTTTTTCACACTCTTTCTTTTTAAGAACTGCACAGGAACCAGGACTTGGGAAAATCATATTCTGGGAAGCTGCTTTGATAGTAGCCAAAGAGATGTCTTCCCAAAAAGCCACTAAATGCTGTAGAGTTAAAGGAAGAGGGGATTTAGACTTCACTGTGTGATGCATGGACATTTCAAATGTGGCTTCAGTCTTCCCATCTTCACACTTCTCATGTAGAGGTGGTTCCTTCAGCATAGACAACACTTTGTTTTTGTTGATGCTACCCATTTTAGATATATCTGGTCCATGAGGGGCAATATTAAACATATTAAGAGCAGATGAGATTTCCAATGAGTGTCTATTTTTCAGCTTGGTTTCCTTTTCTTCTGTAGGCTGCTGGCTATTTAAACTGCTCCTTATAGGAGCATGCTCTTTGGAGAGTTCAGGATTAAATTTCAGGAAAGAAGAACACGCCATTGCATCATGCACTATGCCTTCATGCCAAAGGAAAGACGCGAAGACTGCTCGGGCGCACTCAGCCACTGAAGGGGACATGGCTTGCTTGGCTGGCTCTGAAGGCTTGGCTCCATCTCCTTTGAAAAGAAAGCTAGATTTTTCCTTTTTTGGCCTGGTGTGCCTATTAGCACATTTTCTACTTATTTTGGGGGAAGCTCTCATTTCCTGTTCGTCTTTCAGTGGAGCTTTTCCTATGCTGAAATGAACTTTATTTGAGCCTTCATCCACACTCTTAAATTCACTGCTTTCATCACAGGTACTATCTGTTAGACTATTGGTTTTTAAAGTACTCGAAGTGCAGACTTCTACCACCTCACTGTGAAGGTTTTCTTGTACCACATGTGGAGAAGGAGCTCTATTTTCGGATCCAGGGGAACTTTTGGAATCCTTTGGTATTGATTTTGGTTTGGGTGAAGTTGATCGTCCCCTTAACGGTTCTGTCAGGGGCACCTTCTTCTTGCGCAGGGTATCAGGATCAAGTGTGTAAGAGTCTGACTTGGAGCGTTCCCGAGGAGGATCAAGTTTTGTCTTTACAGGAGCAGTGTTTTTTTGAGGTAGATTTTTATCATGTGGGGAGGAGGCGCGTGGCGAGCTGGCCCCAGATGGGCTAGATCTATTGGCGGGGACCGTCTTTGGCTTAGGAGACGATGACCGAGAACCTGGTCCTGGGGATTCAGCTCTGAGGCCAGAAGACATCCTCCCATCAGATTTTAGTGTCTGCAAGGTGTTATGATTGGGGGAGAGTGACCTACTATGAGAATCTGACCTCAATTTTGCAGCATCGGATTTTAACAAGAGGGATTCACTAGCAGATAAACCTTCTGTACCCCGTGGCTTCTTCTGATCAGTAGTAGTCCGGATCACACGGCCATCAGATTTGAGGGATCTGTTGTGTTTAGACGACACGTCAGATTTTCCTGATGTACAGACTGGTCTGGAAGGTGTTGAGACATTTCCTCGGTCACCTGTATGGTCCATTTCATAGTGAAACGTTATTAAAACTGTATTTTATGTCTAAATTAGCAATTAAACATTGACATAAACAGACAAAATTTTATATTGTTTGCATAGACAAAAATACTTGAAGAATAAAAGGGAACTATTTATCATAAAATTTCTACTCCATAACTATACAGACATCAAACTACTCAAAATATTTTATGGAAGCAGAAACCTTCTGAACAGAACAGGATAAATTTTTAGAGAAATAAGAACCTCTGGCCTTGTATAAAAAACAGATTCAGCCAGTGACTAGAGAGGGCAAAAAAAATTAACTTTAGAAAAGTAGCAACTACAAAAGAATGTATTTTAAGTAGAAGACCTAAATTTCCTATAAAGTGCAGTGGAATAGCTCACATAGGGTAATACTGCAGGTTTTTCTTGAACTATGAAGCAGAATTTATAAGCCTATAGATTTACTGTTTTCAAGTATAATGCAAGTAAGTGCAACTAATTTAATAAAGAACTTCACAGGCAACAACTTTTTAAAGCTTTTTAATAATACAGAATAAATGAAAGTAATTATTTAATTATATGACATTCAGGTGGTGTACCTGCAAAGGTCTAAAATTTATAACCAGGTTGTAGACTTAGAGTTCATTAAATCCATTAAGTAGCTATTCAGAACTTTGAATTTGTATCCCGTTCTAAGTAAAACAGGTTCTGCCAAACGACCAGGACTAGTCTGAATATGGAATGACCTTGCAACAAAGAATTGGGAGGATAAGGGGGGGAAAGGAGGTAAAAGTACTTTCTTTCCTACAAAGCACTAGATGTTTCTAAATCCATGATCATTGGTTTCTGCTTCACAGCCCCCATCCAGTGGTTTCCTCCTACACTCTTATTAATGCTTTTCATTGCTGAATCAGAGCTAGAATGTCTTTGTCCTTGCCTGGTGGTCTAGAACCTTTAATAACATTTCTTCCTAATGTCTTTTCGCTAGCCTGTGTGTGCTTTTGTGCACTTACACTTGTATTTGTCTTTGTGGTCACTCTCTATTCATCTAGCCAGGACAGAACTGCCTTAAAATCTATCCTCCTACCCTCAGGTTGACAAGAGCAGGTAATTTTTTGCCTGTCACTGTTCACTGATGAACTATCAATGATGGGTACTAAAATACCTAAACATTTTGTTGAATGCAAAAATTCTTAGTACATTTTGTTCAGTGAATACAAAAACTTCTACTCTTTAAATAATTTCTTTTATTATTTCCAAATATGCATTTTAGTCTCATTTATGAATTCAAAGGCCACAGAGCAGAAGCAACAATTGCTGCTATATAAGGGATAGCAAGATGTTTGCAAGTCAAACATTACTGCAATCAACAATTTGAGTGGCCCATATTCTTTTCAGGGCTTACAGATTTAATACTACATATTTTAATTAAAATTTATTTAAAATAATTAATTTCATTTTTCAGTAAGGGTAGCAAGTCAACACAGGACAGGGAGATCCTGGATGAGATGGATTGCTACAGTGACTGTGGCAATGGGGGCTGGTGTGTTAGAGATGGAGAGGTTGGTTCAGGATAGGTCAGGGCTCAGAGTTGTTCACAGGATCACTATGAGTCATAGTCAACCTGATGGCATATAACAACGTACCAGACACAAGAGAGCTCTGGTGGTGTAGTCCACAGCAAGTTTTGCTGCTAACTTAAAGACTACATGTCCCTGGCAGTTTGGATCCACTAGTTCCTCTGTGGGAGATGCCTCCCAGGAAGATTTACAGCCTCAGAAACCCTACTGAGGGTGCCTAGGAGTTGGAATTGAATCGATGGCAGTGAGTCGATACTGAACACGATGCTTTTTGGTTTCTTGCAGTGCTTTATTTTATCAAAAATATCACTCATCATCTATGGTTTCTCTTTATTTGTAATAGAAAAGAGTGGGCTAACTTTGGACACAGGTAAAAAAAAGTTAGTCTTGAAATAGAAGTTGTTTACAGCCGACTAAATGCACTTTAAGAAACTTCTGTCCATTTGATTTTATCAATCTAGTAATAACATAGAGTAAATCTTATTAGAAATTATCACGTAAGTCAGCATTAACCTAGGTCTTGATCTCTCACTTACATTGAGTGTGTAATGGTTGAGATGTTGGTTTCTGGTTATTAATCTGATAGATGGAAACATTTTTATTGCCTTCACTACCTTATTTATTTATAAGGTTGAACTACATGTAATGGTAAATTTAGATAAATCCACCCACTGGCATGGGGTTAATTATGACTTACAGAAATGCATATGCTTTCCAAGACTGTAAATATTCATGGAATCAGACAGCCTCATTTTCTCCCATGGAGTGACTAGTTGGCTCAATCCTCAGACCTTTTGGTTAGCAACCAAATGCCTTAATCAAAGTTTACTAGAATGCCTGGTCTTGAATATCTTAAGTAGTAAATCTTTTCTGTCTGGCACCTTTATCTGTAAAAAGTAATACATTTTTGACTGAAAGAGGTTTGCTCTTTAATGAATATAAAAGGATACTTCTGTAAAATGTTTCAAAAGTTAAAAAATTAAGTTAATATTAATACAATGCATACTAAACAAATTTATGTTAACACTGATTAGACAAACTAGGGTTTTTTAAGGATACAGGAATTCAAGAGAGCAATGAAGAAAGAACAGACATCTTTTAATAGAAAAAACTTTAAAACAATTTTGTATTCAGGACATTTTGTTGCTATCAGAACACCATGCATGTATAAAAGGAAGCTTATTTTAAAATATCCCAATTGTATAGTAGTTAAAATGCTTGGCTGTGAACCTCACGTTTGGAAGTTCAAACCCATTCTCAGAAGAAAGCTAAGGCAGCCTTCTTCTGTAAAGATTTACAGTCTTTGAACACCTACATGACAGCCCTATATTGCTGTTGGGTATCACTGAGTTGAGTATAACTCAACTGACGACAACAGACTTGAGCCCTGTTGTATTGTGTGCCATCTTCATCTCACTTCAGCCCACTGCTGCAGTCACTGTATCAGTCTATCTGGTTGAGGGTCGTCTACTCTTCTGTTGACTCCTCACTGTTCCAAGAAATGACCCCTTCTAACGACATGCCCTAAGTATGTGATTCTGTCCTGTAGGATCATTATAATTCTGAATCAACTTGATGGCACTGGGCTAGTGGGTTTAATGTAACTGGAAAGCTTCCCGATAAAGACTGTAAACTTTTCACAGATCTTAATGCCTGACTTACACATTTATTGTAAGCAAAGGGATTGTAAATACATGCTGACGTAGTATTAAATTCTAGTATGGTAGTAATTTGCAATGATTTTTAATTTTTCCTCACAATGGAAACAGGTTCTGTGGTTGACTAAACAACAGAACTAGTCTAATGTGAAGAATACCACTAGTCATATGCTTTAAAATAAATGCAGAGAAATAATTCAATTGTACAAGCATTTGTACCTCAAAGAATGGAGAATATTTTCTTAAGATCAGTGAATAGTAAGAATTTATCTGCCAGACACTAAACTTTAAATAAAGGACAAGTTATTTTTCTTCCAGAGATGTTATAAGTTAATAATAATAATAATAATAATAATAATTTATAATTAAATGACAAGAAAATTCTTTTGAAATTAACTTTTCAAAAGGAATTTTTTAAAGAATATACATTCAACTTTTTAAGTGAGGTAAACTCTTATACTAATTTATGTTTATATTTTTTATTTGGATTTAAAAATTTTTGAGGCATGTAGTAAGTATTACTGAAAATTGTTATGCTGTAATTGCATGAAGCATCATTATGTGAGAATAGTTATTAAATATCTTTAGAACATACATATATTTTTTCTTTCATCACATAATTTAGTTTAATATGTTAAGTTTAAATGATACTGAATAAAACATTTTCTAACCTCAAGGGTATTTTGCAGGAATACAGGATTGGGTAAAAACATTCAATTAAGTTTGTAAACATAATATGCTAAATGTTTATTTACTTATTAAGCGTTTTCATTGTAAAATTGTAAATCATCAGGTTATTCATGTAATACCAATACACGGTACCCATCAGACCACATGACAAAGGAGAAATGTAAAGCAGTTTTACCTATTCTAGAAAAAAATGGAAAGCTAGTACTACTTGAAAAACTCATAAAGTATTTGATATTCCCTCATAATTTTTACAAAAAAATTTTTCATAAAAATTGAATTAAGAAAGCTTAATCAATATTAAGTACATATAAATATTCTTAATGACTACAGTATATTTTTAAGTTATGTAATATTTATCAATTTTAAGCTTAAGCACTGATAGGCTTTAAATATTAAAACTCTCTGGGTCACTAAGTAAATAATAAGATTAATGTTGTGATAGGTAATTTATACAAGGTACTATGGTAACCAAATTAAATGAAGAAATTTAAGTATCAAAGTATTTATCACGACCTAAACTAAAACTGATTTTACATTACATAACATGAAAAAAGAATGTAAGACCAAACTGTCACTTAATTGATATATTACAGTGCATGTTCTTACGGGTCACAAAGTACTTTATGCCTTACACATACATCATCTCATTTTAATAATAATGATTTTTTAAAAATCCTCATAGTAGGCATTTCTTCCACTCTATGTACCTATTTTAATCTTTAAGATCTCACATAAGTTTGAAATTAAATGAAGACAGTTTTCAATCTGTAGATATTTTAAACATGGATATTAAATTAAGGTATCTGTACTATAAAATCTAACAAACCCATAATTATAAGGAAATAAAATTACAAATTAAAATGTAAAAAAATGAAATGGAATGAAAATGACTGAAAGGAACTAAAAGTTCTTTATAGAAAACCTCCAGAGTTATTAGAATGACCTATCTATGAATGCATGTATACCCACCCTGCAGTTTGTGAGACAGAGATGAGATAGCAGAAGCAGGACCAGTTACACCATAATTTTTGAAAATGCGTTCACGAGAAACAAGGCTGCGAGATGGAGATTCTACAGTGGAAA